CTGGAACATCTGCAAGCTGAGCGTCCTTCCTGCTGGCCCCATCTCCCGACCCTCAGCCCTGTCCCCACAGACCCCTGAGTTACTTCTGGGACTGGTCCAAGGAATCCCAAGTTTCCCAGGATCACGGTATAAGATCCTGTGGATTGCAGCAGGGTTTTCTAAGGCTCGCACCCCACAGTAAGAAATCCCTGTTATGGGGTGACTCCGTCCACACCCACAGGCAGATAACCAACAGCTTTCCTAAAGAATGCTTCTCAGGGCTGGAGGTGTAACTCAGTGGTGGAGCACTTGTCTGACGTGCCTGAGACCCTGGGTTTGATCTCCAGAAGGGTGGGGGTGGGGGAGGGGGACTTCTCATGATGAAGCCAGATTTGAAGACAGGTAGTTAGTCTAATAGAGGCCATTATTGAGAATGGAGAGCAGCACTTGGGGAAATTGAAATGTTAATGTCCCAAGGCCGGGATCCCATCCTAAGGAACTGTGAATGAATCAGCTCCCAGCAAACAGGGAGGTGCTAATCCAAAACCACCCCAGGCCCTTCCTGCCCAGATCACTCCTCCAGCTCACCTGTCCCCCACCTTTTGGGCCTTCATTCTATAGCTGCAGGATAAAGGGAAACAAAGGACATGAATGCGAAAAGTAAAAGAAGACCTTAGCTATAAAAGAGGGAAGACCTCCATGGATTCTGCCTTTTGGGTCCTCTTCTTCCTCCGGGGAGAAGTCCTTTCTGCTGTCCTTTAATAAAGCTTCCACTTTCCACTCTTCCCTTGTCTCGTGCTTCTCTGGTGTTATACTTCAGCATTCGGGGAAGCAAGGACTCGTCACCAGTAAACAGCGGTAACAATGACAGGAAATGATCATTTTCTATTTTTCTCCATTTCTCCTTTAAAAGACAGCTGCGAAGCCACTTCACTGCCCGTCAAACCCACTAATAAGCTGCTGCTCACAGTCTGTCAAGGTTAGCCTAGAAAACATCCCAGATCATCGTTAGGACGTCTAGCAGTATGGAGGATGTCTGGTGCTAACAAAGCTGTGATCCTGTTAGAGGGGGTGACCTCACCCCAAGAGATCCTGTCCCGGAGGTGGGGTGACCTCCCTGCCTCCCCTGTCCGGGAGACAAACTAACTATCTGCACACTGATGCCATTGAAATACCTCCCAAGAGGCAGGACTTAGATGAACGAGCCAAATACAGGCTTTCCATGCACCTACTGCCCCATGCCTAGCCCCAGGGGATTTGGGACCAGGGATGGTGGTGGGGTGTGAGCACTGGCTGCTTAAAATGAATACAGCTAAAACTCAGAAGCCACCTGGCTCGTTCCCTGCAGCCCTGTGATCTTTGGGTCACATCCATCCCGCCCAAATGGCTGACTTCTTCCACTTCCTAGAACCTCAGTGAGAATCTGTTTGTGCTTTAGATTTTGCAAATATCACTCCTTCCCAAACACCCACAGTGATGCAGAAAAATGGCCCCCAAAGTCCTACAGTGGTGGGTGACAAATTTCTTATGCACTTGGCAGAAAGAATTCTGGCCAAGGCAGCTGATCCAGCAGTAAAGATTGGCCTCCCAAGTACCTGTTGGCCACCAGGTAGAATAAGGAGAGAACTGGCAGCTAGAACCTGTGTGGAAAAACTGTCCCCTGGGGCTAACACCCCTTAGGGTGACACATGGAAAAGCAGGAAGATGAAATGACAGAGTGATCGAACTAACACACCACCTGCCCAGGTCACCGCAGGATCACCAGAGGATGCTGGCATCTGCAGCCATTCCTTCCAGGTTTTTACAATGAATAGTCCGTCCGTCCTCTGGGAAGAGAACATTCCCTGCAGAGCCACAGTATAAAGTCAGCTTAGCAGAGCACCTAAATCCCAGTTGCCACGGTGCACCCCATGCCTTTTGACACATCATGTGGACGCCCTGAAAATACTTGGAATGTTGCTGGGAGCCATTAGCCAAGTAGGTATGACAATTTCCTTGCCAGCGTACCCCATGTTGCTTAGTGGAAGGACTCGTGGAAATAGGACATTTTGCAGTGACATTGCATGTAGGTGACCTTGCTCAAGGACCAGGGCGGATCCGGGTTTAGGGTGTTCCTGGTTTAGGATAATCGGGTTTAGGGCGTTCCAGTTTTAAGATTATTCCTGCTGGGAATAGGGCGTATCCTGCTGCCTGAGTTCCCCTTGAGTTCTCACGGGATTCAGACAGTATTTTTTGGGAGACAGAAGCCCAGTGGATTTGGGCAGAGAACGTGGATTTGGGCAGAGAACGTGGATTTCCCCAGAACGTGATTGTAGACGGCTGGTGTGAGTTCGGGAATAAAGAGTTGCTGTTTGAATCTACAAGCTGTGTGGTGGCTCGTGATTGTGTGCCCAGACAGACTGCGGCAGAATGTGGAGAGAAAGGGACCCCAGGACAGGGAGGAGGCTCTGCTTTTTCTTCTTACCGCCCCCCCCAACCAAGCCATCCTCCAAATCATCCAAGACAGAATTGGGGAGCCTGGGGTCTATTCCTGACCCTGGCCTCAGACAGTCCCTTCCCTTCCTCAGGCCTCGGTGTCCCCACGTGTAGGAGGATGGACTTGCTGGTCCAGTACGCTGACCAGAGCCGTTCAGGCTGGAGGATGCTGTGAATGGCAGATCTAGGGCAGGAGAGAACAAGGCCTGCTCGGCTGCTTGGCCCAAGTAAACAAGCCCAGCTGAGGGCCAAGCCTGCCCCGAGAGGTAGCCGGGCTGAGGGGAGGGAGGGAGGAGCCGGGCATCAGCCCAGAGGGTGGCGGGGAGAGGGAGAGCTTAGCAGAGACCCTCAGAGGAGATCTCTGGCCAGTGTCTTGTGGCTGTTCTGGGCGGGGCAGGACAGCTGGCAGGAAAACCAAGAAGCAGGCTGTTTCTCCAGGGAACACCAGCTCCCCGAGGGATGGCCTTGGCACCAACTGCTCCATCGAGGAGATGGGAGAAAAGGGCCCTGCCAGGCCAGCCTGGGCCTCCTGTGTGGGCTGCGGAGGAGCAGGACTCTATGAAGCTTCCAGAAAGATGAGATGCTGAGAAACTGTCACACCAGGGGCCTAAAACAAGTCTTTGACCTGAATGTGGCCAGGCCACCTGGGATCGGGCACAGACACCAGGGGGTCTAAGGGGCTCGGGGTCCAGTCCTAGTTTGGCTGCTGTCCTGCTTGTCCTTGGGAAATCCCTCCCCCTCTGAGTTTCACTGGTCAAATAAGACTGGCAGCTCTGATAGCCCGAAGCCTCCCGCGCCTGAGGTGTTCTGGGGTCCTCTGTCACCTGCGAGCAAAGGGAGATCCACAGCTCCAATCGCAAGGCTCTCCCCAGCTTCAGGGCAGAGACCACAGAAGTGAAAGCAAAAGCCAGCAGCCCAAGCAGATCCTCATGAGGCATCTGGGCTGCTGGAACATTCCTGCCACCTTGGGAGGCAATGCTTTCTCGCTCTCCAATCCCACCTGGGTCCAGAACTGGGGCAAGAGAAGCCAAGGACCCAAGTGTCTTGCTCTGCAGCCTCCTCCAGCCCAAGATTTCGGAGGGGTTCTCTGCCAGCAAGACAGCATTTCCAGAACTGTGACTAGTAAAACCAGGGCCTCCAAGGAAGCAGCTGCCCCAGGCAAAAGTCAGTGAGACACACCCCCTGGCTCTGCCATCCCTCCCAGATGGAGAAGCCCCCGGGGCCTTGTGACACGTGGAGCCCCAGGGCAGGAGAGCTGGAGGGTTGGGGCCCTGCGCTCATCACCTCTCTCTGGCAAAAGAGAAGGCTGGAGGTTGGATCTCTCAGGGAGACCCCAAATCTTATGCTGAACCAGTGATCCCAGGTGAAGGCCACATGTAATAATCCCTGCCTCTGTTCAGGCCTCCCGTGTGGCTCCCCACTGCCCACCACCAACCGGCAGCCGGCTTTTTCTCTCCTAGAGATGTGATCTCTCCATGCAGCCAGAATTATCTTCTAGCCTTCTTCTTCTTCTTCTTCTTTTTTTTTTTTTTTTTTGCAGTGCTGGGATTGAACCCAGGGCCTTGTGTGTGGTAGGCAAGCACTGTACCGCTGCTGTGCCCCCAGCCAGAAAGAAGGTAGTTAGTGCCTGCCCACAGAAAGGGCTCAGGTAACATCTGCTGGATGGTTCCAAGAGAGCCCTGCCGGTCCAGTGGGCCCATTCCAGCCTTGTCCCCACTCCCTTCCTGGTTCCCCACCCTCCCCACCTGAGTCCTCCCACCCAGCACAGGTCTGCTTGCGGGTGCTCCACCTGCCAGACACCCTTCCTCCCAGGTCCCCTGTGGACTCCAGTTTCCTGTGGACTCATCTAATATTCTTCTTTGCAGGACCTCCCTCCCCAGTTATTTTCTTTCTAGCATTCTCTCTTAAGACCGGTAACATAATGTCCTCCAGAGCCTGCTCTGTACTCGGCACAGATGCCCCACTTTGCCCTGGGAGGTCACCATTCCCATTTCACAAAAGAAGAAACAGAGGCACAGAGGGGTGAAGTGACTGACCACCATCTGTCATGGCCAGGAATGGTGTGGCCTGACTGTAGCACCCACCCTCGGTGACACTGGCCATTACTGTCCGACTCGTTCACTAGGCTGGGAGCTCCCCAAGTCCTCCCCGAGTCCTGAGCAACGCTGCACACGTCCAGGACACCATGAGAGACAGCTTCATGGCCAGTCTCCTCCCCTCGCCTTCCTATTGCCCTTTTCTCCCACTCTCGTTTGTGTGTGTGTGTGTGTGTGTGTGTGTGTGTTTTGGGGATGGGGGTACATCTGGTAAGAAAGGGAGGGAAATATTTGGAAGGAAATGGGCTCCTTCCCAGATCCTTTTGGCCCCGCTCCATCAAGTCGGGATCCTGGTGGGACAAGTCCAAGGGTGGAAGTTGTTCTCAGGTGGACCTTTCACTACAGGAGCTAGCTTCCAAGTAACCCTTCAAAACAAAAGCCAGAACCTGCCCCAGGGCGGTCCCTCCACCTGCAGCCCTGCGATGGCCCCGCCCACCCCGCTTCGGAGGATTCCGGGAGCCCAGACCCCCAGACGGAGCTGAAGGACCGGTCCCGGGACACAGGTGTCATCCCAGGGCAGCCCGCGGCGCCTCCCAGAGGAAAATTGCGGGTTCCCGGCCTTCCACACCCACCCTGGTGGGAAAGATTCCTTCCTCCAAGTGACTATCCTATTAATCAGACCTGCTGCGCCCCTGCCGCTGTCCTGCGCGCCGACTTGAGATCTGATGGGGATCCGGCGCTCCCCCAAAGTAACCCAGCTTGAACCTCGCAAGAATGCCTCGTCGTCTCGCCCCGGGACACTGTCATTCCCACTTTACAGACAAAGAAGCCGAGACACGGCAGGACCCGAGTTCCACCTCACCGCTCCCGCCGGTTTCTCACCCCTTTACTTCTAGTGGGTAAAACAGGCGCGCACGAATCTTAAACTGTAAAAAGCCAAAAAGAAACGAGGGCCGGGGAGGAGGGTCCACGCGGACGGCGCCAAGCTGCTTTTCAGGGACCAAAGCTCTGCTCAGGATCAGGGGTGGCAGGTGCCTCTGCCGAGGCCCGGGGTTCAAAACCCTCCGGGAGGATGGCACTGGTCCTGGCCAACAGGGGGCCCCCGAGGCTGGCCGCCTTCCCCCTCCGTGGCCGGCCGGCCCGCGCGGTGCGGGAGGTGGGGGTGTCGGTCGCTGGCGGGGCGCGGCTTCCGAGGGCTGGGCAGCGAGGCCGCCGGGTGGCAGACTCCCGCTGGACACTCTCGGGCGCCTGGGCGCACCACCCGGGAGCCTCGGGCTCCCCTCCTCGGCCCCACCGCGAACCCAGACACTCCTCCCGGCGCCGCGGCGCAGACTCACCCGGGCCGCTGCGGCTCCGGCTCGGTCTCTGCCCTGCGGCCCGGGGCTGGGGGGCTCCGCGACACCCCCAGCCCGGGCTGCCTCCTCGGGGACGCGGCGATCGCTGGCAGGGGACTCTAGCGAGCCTCGATCGGGGGAGCGCAGTGCGGAGACGGAGCGTCGCCGGCTCCGGGACCGGGATGGGGACGCAGGAAGCGCGGCCCGGGAGCGCGGAGAGCAGGAGGGAGGGACCGCGGGCGGCGGAGGGCGGCGCCGGCTCCGAGTGGCCTCCGGCCGCGAGAGGCGCCGCCCACCAGCCGACCCTCCCTCCCGGCCTCCGCGCCACCCTAGACCCGGGCCCGCGACCTCGCCGCGGAGGGCGGGCAGCAGCTCTCTCGACTGGGGCGCGAGCTGAGGGTGCAGGGCGCCGGCGCTGCGCCCACGTCCCCCGGACCCCGCCGGAGTCAATAAACCGGGTGGAGGCAGGGAGGGAAGCGCGCCCGGACCGCCCCTCTCCCTGGGAAGGGCGGCGGGTCTGGGTGGGTGGGGGTCTCGAGGCCCGGAGCCCGCGGCATTTATGGCCTGGGTTTACGTGGATCTGGGGACACTCCCCCACACCCCACCAGGGGCGGTGTCCCTGCGCCTTCACCTGGCCGAAAACTCACCTCTCCTCCTTCTCCGGGAGGCCGCTGCCTGGCTCTCCACCCTCGGGCCCGCGGGTTCAGGGCCGGCGGGTTCAGCCACAGCCGAAGTCTGGCGAGGTGAGCGAAGGGCGGAGGTAGTGAAGGAGGAAGCGAGTTTTTAAAAAGCGAGTCAGCTCACGCCTTCCGTAGGGCTCCCCACCCACTCCTGGGTGGCCCGGGCACCCTCGGTATCGCGCGTCGAGCCCAGCCTGGGTGGAGCCCATTTCGGGTTCCTGCATCCGAGCCCGGGACTCTCCCCTGCCGGGGCCCATGCCCAGGTCTGCAGAGAACTTTCCTAGCGAATCACCGGCGGCTGTCTCCCGTCCCGTGGGTGACGGACGGGTGGCCCGCCTCTGCACGGAACCAGGAAGGTGAGCCCGAACACCGCGCGCAGCCTCTCACCTGCGCTGCAACCCCGCCCTCTGCCTGCAAGTCGGCTCTGGAAGCGGTGCCAGAACTAGGGTGGGTGGGTCCCGGTCCCGGCCAGACCGCCCGAAACGTGGATTCCAAACGCCGAGGGAAGAGCTGGCCCGGCTCCCCTCCCAATCTTCGGCTGTTTTGAATTCCAGCAGAGGTCGGGCCAGGGTCCCCTCCTCGGGTGAACGTCCAACTCTTTGAAGTTCAAACCCTGAGAAGCCCAGAGCCAGCTGGCGGGTGTCTGAGAAGCCAGCCGAGGCTGACAAGGCGCCTCCTACTGGGAATCCTTGTCTCCAGGAGGAGCGCACAGCGCCGGCAGCCAGCCAGTCAGCCTCCACCATCGCCATCCAGGCCGGATCCCACCGTGGACACTCAAGGTGTCCAGGAGTTCCTGGGCACAGAGCGTCCACTTGCACTTACCTAAAGAGTTGTAACAAGTGCTCCCCCTACATTGTTGCTTCTTGATCAGTAACAGTTCAGTAGGACCCTGGTGTCCATAAAAAGACAAATTTGGGGAGCAAAAAAGCATTTGGGGAAACAACCAAAGCCTTACTGTGAACCAGGCATGGGCTGGCCACGGGCTTCCCTTGAACCATCTCCTTTCATCCTGGTAACAATCGGGGAAGTGGTTACTGCTTATGTCCACTTTCCAGAAGAGAAAGCTGAATCATTTTTCAATGTCACACAGCGGGGGACTATAGGATCTAGATTCAAGTGGGTCCACTCCAGAGCCTGTGCCCTGCTTGCTACAGGACAATTCATCCTGGGCATGTGCTTCCTGCTGAGAGCTTCCCCTTCCCCTTCCCTGGCCCCCTGAAAGTGCTTGATAAATATTTGTTAGATGAATCAAAACCCCAAATAAAAACATCTTTTTGCAAGTGAGAACCCTTTATGTAAGCCGCTGCCTGTAATAACGCTCTCTCATCCAGAGCTCTGTGTATTCATCCCAACTTTCAGACAATGAATTTGGGGACTTTCCCAGGTTCCAAAAGAGGGGCAGGAACAGTCTCTAGGCTCTCAGATAAGATCAGGATTCGGGTTTTCATTTCACTCTCTGAGACTGACTAACCTGAAAGCAAAGAGAGTTGGTACTTTTCCACCCCAGGATCCACTCCCAGGCCCGCCCCGCTCTGCTGCAGACCCAACCAGGCAGATCCTGCCTATCAGAAAATCATCTTCCAGTGTTCCTTCCAGCAGCCTCACCCTGGCTGGTCTGAGCAGAGGCTGGAGAATTTCACAAAGTTGACCCGCAGGCAAAACTGAGAAGCTGGCGGAAGAAGCTGGTGGCTCCTTACCATGCTCCTCTGGAGGGACCTCAGGTTGGTTTCTCTAAACCCTCACTTGGTTAGTTTCTCTAAATAGTTCCCAGGTTCTACCTGCCAACTGATTCCCCTAAGTAACCACTGACAGGGGCCTGAGACGTGTCCTTGGAGAGAAGATCCAAAGACGAGACTCTCAAAGGGTGGGGTGTCTATTACCTGTTATAACGGGCACAGGGAGGAAGGCAGTCCCTGTTACTGAGGCCTAGCAGTCAAAATCAGAGCCAGGCACCTCCCTCCACAGGACCCCTGCTCTAAATCACTGTGGCAGGAATCCACGTGTCGCAGGCAGAGGGATAGCTGCCCACCGAGGTCAACATCGCGACCCCCAGAATCCGTTACCTTACATGGCAAGAGGGACTTGGACTCAAGCTAAGAATCTCGAGACAGGGTTATCCTGAACGATGCTGGTGGGTCCAGTGTAGTCACGGGGGCTCTTGTAAGGGGGCAGGAGGCTCAGTCAGAGACTAGGGAGTAGAAGTCCAAGTGACGGCATTGCTGGACAGGGGCCATCAGCCAAGGAATGTGGGCAGCTGCAGGAGCTGGACAAGGTACGAAAGGATCCTCTGCTGGAGCACCAGGAAGGAGCGGCCCTTGCTGTTAGCCTAGGGAGACCCAACACTGGCGGCTGACCTCCAGTGACCTATGGTGGTAAATCTGTGTTGCTCTAAGCCATGAAGTTTGTGATGATTTCTTGCAGTGGCCACAGGAACTCAGCCACCTAGGCAAATGTTTATTTCACTTGCCTGCCAGTTGACTATCCACTCTAAAGATCTTAAGAGTCATGTGATATAGCTGGTACCATGTATTTAGAGAGAAAGTAAGATTTTACCAGATCTGTCTTTGGAATCTGAACCCTTTGCTATTTGGGAGCTGTGTGATCTTGGGAAGATATCTTGTCCTCTCTGAGCCTCAGTTTCCTCACCTGTGAGAATGGTGATGTTAAATATACACACTTTGCAGGATCAACATGGGGACCAGATGAAGGCAGGAAGCGCCTTGTGAGTGGGCTGGCGTTGTCTGAACTTGGGTCATTTGGAGCACGCATCTGCCAGTTCTGAAATCGAGGATTCTAAGAGGATTGACCGCTGTTCTGGCATGCATTTTTATTCACTCTGGCTGAGTGGACAAGTCACTTTTAAAGAATTAAATTGTGCCTGGTCGGTGATTAAATCCAGTCATGCCACTGATTTTTCAGGCATGCTGGCAGGAATGAGGCCAGCAAGTCTACTGATGAGAATACATTGTCGTGTCGAATAAGCCATTCATGTCCTAAAGGACGTATGGGCTTAAGGGCATTTCCTATGGGTAATGGTCAAGCATCACCACCCACCTTGGTGCCCACCACTAGAAAATATGCTAGGTAAATTATGGTTTGAGCCAGTGCCAGAATGCTACACAGTCATGAAAAAGGTGAAGCCATCTGACATGGAAGAATGGTGTCCAAGAAGAGTCATTAACTGAGAAAGCAAGAGGTGAAACATTATGATGCTACATAAATGACATTTTGAAAGGATGTGGACACATATGAATTGGATTATGCATAGAAAGTGCAATGGGAAGAATCAAACCAGAAATTGCCCTTTGAAGTAGAGAAAAGGTGCGTTCATGTGTGTTGGGGGGTATGATTTTTTTTTCAATAAAAACACGTTGAATTACTATTTTTTTTGAAGTTGGCTGGGAGGAGCACATCTGCCAGGAGCACACCCTTTTGCTGTTCTGCTCCTTGCTTGTGGTCGCTGCCCCCGTAACTCCTGTCCCTTGCAGCCCCACCCCCCACTGTCCCACTTACTCCCGAAGGGGACTCAGTTCTCAGCCCAGGGGAGGTGAGCAAGGCTGTCCCTGCGGTGACTGGTGCCCAAGTCGGCAGTGATCCCGCAGGTGCACTCACAGCCTGGCCCCGCTGGAAGGGTCTACGGTACTCACTGGGGAGGGACGGGGCTGGCGTGCAGGTGGCGCAGGTGACACGCTGGCCCAGCCTCTCTGAAGGTTGAATCAGATCTGTGTGGCCAAGAAATCGTGCTCCCTGACGCAGAGCAGGATGGAGAGGGGAGCCCTTAGTGTAAAGGAAGCAGTTTTTTCTCCGTTTCCTGAAACATTTTAATTCCATGAACACGTCTCAGCCGGAGCCCCCCAGTCACGGGGCCAGTGAGGACGCACCAGAGGCCCGGGATGGAGCTCGCGGGGTCCGGAGCGTCAGGACCCAGGTTCCTGAGAGCCCTGAGCACAGAGGACCCCGATCCTTGGTCCCCCCACCGCATCTCCCATGTCCCAGCCTCTGCAAGTGACCTCCCAGCCTCCTCTCTTCACCCTGACCCTGTCCCTTCTCCATGTCCTGAAGTCAGCGAGGGGCAGCACGGGTCCGAGCCCCTTTGTCCCAGCCTCAGGTCCAGCCTCCTGGAGGAGGACACGCGAGGACTGGTCACCGGTGGGCTGTTCTGACGCGCTGGCTTGCCGCTCAGCTTCCCCCCGGGGCCCAGGCCCTGTCACACCCGGGTGGCCCAGGAAACCCTTCCAGGTCTCTGCCCATCACCATCAGGTCCCTCGGAGTGCTGTGGACTCAGGGTTCACCGGGGTCAGGGCGGGCGCCACCCCTCACCACGCAGGCTGTCAGGAGGAGGAGCGCCCCCCCAGCAGCCCCGTGGAGGTCGGGAAGGCCCGTGGAGGTCGGGAAGGCCGGCTTGCTGGGCGGGCACACGCCAGGCCGAAGCCCGGGAGGAGGAGCCACGGGGCTGCGGGTCCCTCCAGGTCCAGTGCGAGCGCGTTCCTGTTTTCCCGCGAGTTTCCTCTTGGGCTGGAGCTAGTCTGATGAGTGTCCTGTGTCTCGCAGCAGAAGGGCCCGAGGGGGACCCCTGAAGTGTGGACCAGCAGCGGAGGAGCAGAGCCAGAGGCCACACGCAGCTGCCCTGACCCTGGCGGGTCGGTGACGGCACTGAAATCACCAGCAGCCGACGCCAGGGTCCTGCGCGGCTTGGATTCCAAGGAACCCCCGGCCTCCCAGATAGTAAATGCCAACCATGCCAGGCGCCGGCACTCACGCCCCGCGGACCAGGGGCCGGCACTGTTCTGCACCCTTTGCAAGGGTGGGCACCTCTAGGCACCCTCATGTCCCAGGGATGAAGCTACCAGGTTCCCCCCAGTTGACAGATGGGGTTGTGGAGGGCACAGCGGGGCTAAGTCTATCCCAGGAGCCCCTGGGGGCCAGCGCTGGGCTCCGGAGGCCGCTGCAGGGTGCCTGGGGCCTGTGCTCTCCTGCTCTTCTCTCCCGGGCTCTCCAGGGTTGGCTGCTGGCAACACCCTTAGGGTGGGGCTCCTTGATCCAGGCTTGGAGGATGGGAGAGGAACCGGGCCAGAGGGACTCGGGGACACACACCAGTGCTCCCGCCTGCTACGCTCTGGTTGCCCCTGCTCTCTGCACGGGCTGCTGGGTTGCAGTGGTTGGCGGGACTCTTCCCCTGCCTGTGCTTTTCCAGATGGTGACTCCTCTTACTGGGGAGAAGCCCGACTCAGAAGAAAAGCAGAGACAACACCCAGGGTTTCAGGTGCCAGGGCTCTGGTGTTGCAAGAGCTAAAGTTGCTAAAGTGGGAGCCCCGAGCCTGCAGGCCCAGAGGCGACGTCACCACCAGAAGATCTGAAGACAGAAGCTAGACCCAAGAGCCATTTGTCATGACCGAGAGGAGGTCAAGCGTCCGGGGCTGGGCGTCCAGGCGAGGAGCAGAGGAGAATGGCCGAGTTCCCATGAGGTGGGTCTTCGGAAAACTGGGTGGGGGCCCAAGAAGTATCTCTGAGCGGCCTCATGGGGGAGTGTGGACTGGGGCCAGCTCAGGGGTTGCCCCAAGCCTTACCCAGCATGGCCCAGGGGCAGGGCAGGAGGGCTGGCCCCATGGAGTGATTGGAGGAGGGTGACATCCTCCCTGAGGTGTGCCAAGGCTGTGTCTCCCACGGGTCCAAGAGGAGAGCAAAAGAAGCCAAGAGAGGAGAAAGAAGGTGGGCACAGGGAGGGCTTCCAGGAGACCCCACAGGCACACTATCACCTGGGAGATGGAAACATGGTCTCCTTAGCAGGTGCCTGCCCCCTGCCCCAGCCTTGAACATGCTAAGCAAGTGCTCTACCATTGAGCTACTCACTCTGTTTATGTCTCTGTGCACATTTCTGCGTAGAAGACACACGTGCATGTGCATGCACATACACACACACACACACACAAAATAATACACGTGGAACTTAAAAACTAAATTAGCTATGCTGATTGCATCCATGTAAACATCCTGGCTGTGCCTGTGTACTGTAGCTACAAGACGTTACCTTTGGGGGAGGCTGGAAGAAGGGCAGAATAAGATCTCGTATTTTTTTTTTGCAATTTCCTATGAAGCTATAATTATTTTAAAAATAAAGGTTTTAATCTATATGATAGAGTAAATCCCTGGTCTGTTGTTTCACTTTCCACAGTTTCAGTTATCTTAGGTCTGAAAATATTACATGGAAAATTCCAGAAATAAGCAATTCATGTTTTAATTGCACACCATTCTGAGTAGGGTGATTTAGCACTGTCCCACAGGACATGAACCATTCCTTCACGGTGTATCCATGTGGTATATGCTACCTGCCTTTGCAGTGTATCCATGCTATATATGCTACCTGCCTGACATTGTTGTGGCTTGATGATGCAGGATCACCCAAGGCCAATGGTCCTAACACTACTTCACCTTCCACCTCACTTCATCTCATCACTCAGGCATCAGATCATCTCACTTCATCCCAAGAAGAATGAGTACCGCACAGTATCTTGAGGAAGACCATATTCACAGACCTTTTATTATAATTGTTCTATTTTATTATTAGTTACTGTGGTTAGTCTCTTAGTGTGCCTAAAAATTAAACTTTACCATAGTTCTGTATATACAGGGAAAGCATAGTATAAATAGGGTCCAGACTATCTGAGTGTTCAGGCACTGTGGGGGGTCTTGGGGGTATCCAACAGGTCCCACCTGGCATTCTCTGATTCAGATGCCATCCAATAGGTTTTATTTGCCTCGCAGTATTTTAATAATGAGTTTCCAGTATTGAAAATGGGCATTTCCCCTAACAAGCTGGGTATCTGGGGCCAGTCACTCTGAGTGCGAAAGTGGTAGTAATCCCTGGACCCAGAGGCATGGTGACTGTCCCTTTAGACAGGGCATACCTTCGTGTGCTCACCAGTCCCCACAATTTCCTACAGTCACCTTAGCAGGATTTGCACAACCTGTCTAGCCATGCAGGCTTTTTTTTTTTTTTTCATTTTTAAAAATTCTAATTTGTTGTACTGACACGGAATGCACTACAATTCATAATACACACATGGAGCACAATTTTTCATTTCTCTGGTTGTACACAACGTGCGGTCACCCCATTCGTGTCTTCATACGTGGACTTAGAGTAATGGTGTCCATCTCCTTCCACGGTCTTTCCTACCCCCATGCCCCTCCTTTCCCTTCCGTCCCCTTTGCCCTTTGCCCTCTCTAGAGTTCATCCACGCAGACTCTTGACCTGGTGACCTTCACTTTCCGACTTCAGTCTCTGAGAATCCTTTGCCCTCCTGCCCCTTGCACGGGTGCAGAGCAGCTTTATGGGCTGCCTGGGCACAGGCTCTCGCTGTCCCTTCGGGTCTCCCTGGGCTCACATGGCTTTCCTCCCTGGCTTTCAGACGCTCCCTGGTCGTCCTCTGGGAACTTCCATCTGCCCTGCAGAGGCGGGAAACCTGGCTAACGGGGCATCTAGGTCGCCCCCACTTTCCCGCCAGCACCAAGTCTCTACGCACTCGGTTTCCCCTCAACTCCTGAACTTTTGAAAATCAAAAGCCCGGGCTCTTAGGCCCCCCTTTTCTGCTGTTCACCCTTCCTGGTGGCCATAAGCTAACGGCTGGATTTTCAGGGGTGGAGACGATCTTGGCGCGATAAGAAAAACTGGCAATGAAAACGCACCACGTAATTCCAAAGTACCCCGTGCCGTCCCTCCCCGCGCCGGGCACCGCGCAGGGCACAGCGCACGCACCCTCCCTGCAGCCGGAGGGCGAGCGAGGCTCGGGGACACGCAGGGATTGCACAGAGACAGCAGCCAGTGAACGCAGAGCTGGGACTCGAACTCAGAGTCCACCTTCTCCTCCGCTCGGCTCCCGGCCGCCTCCTGCTTCTGGAGCTGGTGGTCTCCCGGGCCGCTGCCAGCCGGAATCCGGGCGACCCTGAAAGGCTATTGGTTGGGCTTTTCCTAAAGCCCGCCTCCGAAGGTATCTGATTGGCTGAATGGCGCAGAGGCCGGTGACTGACAGCGAGATGCCCGGTCGCTGGCGGGGCCCCTGTAACCCGGCGCGCGAGCCCAGGCAGGCGCGCAGGTCGGCGCCCCGGGGGCGGGCAGGGGCACGGGCGGCCGAGCCAGGCCCGCAAATCGAGTTAGAGCCGGAGCCTCTGGCTGCTGTCAGTTTGGAAGCCAGCAGCCTCGCCGGAGCCTCGAGGGCGCGCAGGGTTTCTGCCGGGCTCGCTGCAGAGCCTCGCCCGTCGCTGGCTCCCGTCACAAGGCCCTGCTGGCGGCTCCGGGCTCCTTCGCCCCCGGGCTCCCTGGCAGCTGTTGGCCCTAGCACTTGGGCAGAAGCCATGCCTTCTCCCCTTCGGTGGGCAGGAGCCCCCGATGAGCCGTGGGGGGAGTGGGGGGGTCCTCCTGAGGCCGGGTAGCCTGGTGCGGTCAGCAGAGCTGGGAACCGGAGGGGAAGAGACCGACCCCCCAACGCCTTTGGGTTTTCTCAGGGGTGGGTGGGTAGAGGCCCATGACCTCTGAGCCTGGTTTGGGGACATCACTGAGCTACTTCCTGGATTCCTGTTTGATCAGAAAGGGGGAAGTTTTGTTTTTTTTTTTTCTTTCCCTCCAAAGTTCAAATTTTGTGACACTTGGGATTGGTGTTTTCAGACTGGTAACCCAACGTTTCTTTGACTTTAAGTTGCCGTTTAGCTACTGTAGACGGCGCTCCCGTCGGGGCTGTATTTAGAGTTGTGCGAGTTCCAGCCGCCGCCTGGGGCTTGGGCCTACAGCCCTGCAGCCGGGCTGCCCGGATTCCAGTTCTGGTTTGGCTGGTTCCTGAGCCCTGCTTCTTGGGTGAGCTGTTTAACCTTTTGGAGCCTCGGTCTTCTCATCTGTAGGATGGGGTTGGCAAGGGTCTGGGTCAAGTCCGTGAGTGTGAAATGCAGAGTGAGCCCTGGCCGTGGGAACAGCAGCGGTCACTGCCTTCCTCAGAGCAAAACTCCCAAAGTGAATGAAAGTGTTTTGGGTGGGGGTGGGGGTGGGGCGCTGCTCTCCAGCCGGCAGCTGGCCTCAGCAGACCTAGGATTTGGACGCCAAGGACACAGTCCTGGAGTGAGTCCAGCACTCCAGGGTCTTGGCAGGCGCTGGAGGACCAGCTGTGGGGCTCCATGGGGTTCCCCCAGAGAGCTGCAAAGCCAGGCTGGGGTGATGGCAGCCTGTGGGGAGGCAGGCACAGGGTGGAGGGAGGGACCCCGTAGAGGATCTGGCCCTTAGGAAGGGGCTGGAGGAGATGGGATGACACGGGAGGCACGGCAGCAGGCAGCCTGGGCTAAGGCAGCACTGGCCTGTGCCTTCCTGACTGCTGGGCCCAGCTGCTCAGAGGGGGGAGTGATGCTCGAGGAGCTGAATTCATGACCTTGTGTACTGCTGGGGACATGGGGACTGCCACCCAACCCCCTGGAAATCCTGGGAGGATGGGAGGCTGAGGGTCCTTGTCCGGAATACTCCTCTAGTTCCGGACCTACAACTTATTTTTTATTTATTTATTTTTTAAAATTGAGTAATGATTTATATTGCACCACCCAGATACGAATCTAGATCATTCCCAGGACCTAAGGAAGGTTCCGGGTGCCCTGCTCCAACAGTGACCTCAGCTCTTTCATTAGCATACATTAGTTATGCCTGTTTTTGAACTTCAAATAAACAGAATCACTCAGCCAGTACTCCTGGGTGTCTTAACTTCTTTCATTCCACATTGATCTGGGAGAGTCGCCCCGGTGCTGCTTGTAGCAGGGCTTCATTCCTCTTTACTGTGGTATGTAAAAGCCTAGTGTTCATTGAACCTGCCATAATTCGTGTTTTCATTCTCCTACTGACAGACTTCAGGGCTGGTTTGAGTTTGGTGCAGCTCAAATTTATGGTAAATAAAGCAACCATGAATATTTTTGCACTTGTCTTTTGGGACCCAGGAGTGCTCACTTCTGCCGGGCACTGAGCTTGGGGGACACTATTTGAAAACACTCCAGGGGGTCTGGAGGGTAGCTCAGTGGTGGGAGCAAGGCCCAAACCTGCTTCCATCTCAGTGCTGAGAAAGGGGGGAGGAGGAGGGAGAGGAAGAGAGAGAGGGAGGAGAGCGCTTTGAGATAAGGGGAAAGGGGACAAGTGGGTGTCCTCCACCCTGTACTGGCCCCTGACCTGGCTGTGGCTGCTGACATGGGAGTTGAGAAGCGGGTAAGAGAGAGGACTTCCTGCTGCAGGAGATGCGAAGCCCCCTGCCAGCAGCAAACTCTCTTCTTTCCAGCTTCTGCTGGAAAGTGCCTGAGAGGTTTCCTGGGCCCTGGAGGAGGTGTCCCCTCCCTTCCTGGTGGCACCTGGGTACATTGGAGTTAGTCCAGTGTCCATTTTGTAGACCTGTATCCCGAGAGGGAAAGCGGCTTGCCTGAAGCCACAGCGGGGGACCACAGGCCTTTAGCAGCTCATCTGCAAATTGGGAGGAAGGAACTGTTTTCATTGATCCCAGTATCACAGTGACACTGGGCTACATTGGAGAGCCATTGTCCCCAAAGCCTTTAAGAAGTCATCCCTCCATGATTATTGGGTGCAGGGTTTAGGTTTATCTTGTTCAGCATCCAAGAAAGCTGGCTGGGCCCTGGGCTCACCCGCAGCACCGCGGCTGGGGGGGGGGGGGTGGAGAAAGAGAAAAGAACTCTCACTGACGGCCTATGACACACCAGGCACCGTTCTAGGCTCTGGCGCAGCTGGGGATGAAACAGGTGAACATTCCAGAACATTCCCGCTCTCACGTGACTCGCATGCCCTCTGGCAGTTGGAGCAAGAGGTGTTTTAGTAAAATGAAGTGGGGGCCGAGCGCTGGAGAGTCAACTGCACAGGGAGGCGGCCGGGCCGGGCTGGGCTGCGGCTGGATCTGGACAGGACTTCACCCAGAGGCAGCTGCCCTGCCCAAGGCAGAGGAGTGTGGGGTTCACAGCAGGTGAGCTGGAGGTGCTCTGCTCATTTTCCCAGGGACAGGAAGGCCAGTCCTTTCTCAGGGGAGGTGACAGAGGCAGGGTCAGCACGGAGGCCTGGGCTTTGCCATGGAGCATGGGGGCACCAGCCCTGGAGGCAGGCTTCTGGGCCAGCGGCAGATGGTGAGAGGACATCTGTGGCCTGTCCAGAAGTTCCTTCTGGTTGGGGATCAGCTGTGGATCTCAGGAGTCTGAGGCGTTCCTTGGAACCCTTTGGGGTCCCATGGGGCACAGTTTGACCACCACCCACTGGAGGATTCCCTCTTAAAGCAATGACCTTCTGTCTGCTAGCACTAAGAAGACCAGGTCCCCATCCTAGCTCCAGGCCTGGCTCTGACCCAGCAAGCTGTCCCCTCTTGGCCTCCGTGTCTCAGCTGTGACCTGGGCTTGACAGACGAGACAACCCACGGTCCACGAGAAAGATGGGGGTCCCTAGCAGATCCCGTGGCCTGAGCACTGGTCCCAAGGACACCCTGATGCTTCCTCTAGTCGGCAGAGTCTCCCTGCTTGGGCTCTTCTGGAAGCTTCCTGGACAGCATTCTGTCTGCAGGAGTAACAGCTGCCCAGTAAGGTCCCTTCTGCTGGGGAGGCTCAGGAGGTGAGGACGCAGCCGGAAGGGAGGCCAGCGCAGGGTGGTGCAGAAGAAGCTGTCCCCGTCCCACGGCCCCTCTGCTCCCGCTTCCCAGCTGCAGCCTCACAGCGGGTCACTGAGGATCCAGGGAGCAGCTCCCTAGTGTCACCTCACCTGGCCCCTTAGCCTCACCCTGGAGGTGGCCTCCACCCTGAGAGGCAGCAGGATCACAGGGGGCTGAAGTCTCCCGAGGACAACGCTAAATGCACAGAGGGTGAAAGAATGACAGCCCGTAAGTCAGGACACCCGTCAGACCCCACCAAGTGCTCATCATGCTCACCTGCCACCAGCCTCAGGACCACCCTACAGAGGGTAACTGTCCCTCCACTTGTCAGATAAGGAAACTGAGGCCCAGAGAGGTTACGTGTGTGCCTGAGGTCACACAGCTAGTAGGCGGCAGGCAAGGGGCCATTTGTGCCCAGGAAGGCTGGCTCCAGAGCTCAGGTCTCGGGGGTATGAGGGGTCCTCCATGGCCATTTATTCTGTGATGTCTAAGGCCAGGTTTCAGGGCCCCTCAGTGTGTGTCCTTTTCCCTTGGGGCTGCCCACATGGTCCCCTGGACACCTGGGAACTGGGGCCCATAAGAATGCCTGCTGCCCTCCAGCCACCTTGCCCGGGGTTGGGGGTGTCCAGCCACCCTCCTGGGAAGGGAAACCGCAGGACCCTGAGGTTGGAGCTGGACCAACGGCCAGTGCTCCTGGGGCCATGGGGCCGTCCTCAGCTGGCCTCCTTGGGCAGGCTGTCCTCGCAGGGGGCGGGCGGGGGCTCAGGATCCGGGCCTCCCAGCGGGCAGGGGATCTGGGTGGCCAACAGGTCTGATCCACTCGGAAGCCTGCTGTGGGTGTAGCCTGCCCCACAGGAGACGGTCTTCGTTGGGGAAACGACAGGGACATTTGCCCCCCAGGAGCCGCCTGCGGAGGTTGGCGGAGGGATCCGAATCCCCACCCCCGGGAAACTTCGGTCCGGGACTCAGGGTGGCCCTGGGTCCCAGGGTGGCCAGGTCTCAGGGTGGCCCTGGGTCTCAGGGTGGCCTTGGGTCTGACTGCCTGGCGGCTCCTGGATGGAGCCTGCTGACGAGTGAGGCACGTGCTGTCCCACCATCTAGTGGTGAGTGGGGGGACTGCGGGCTGTCCTGGTGGCTTCCACAGGAGCGGGTCATCCCAGGGTGGATCCAAGCCCCAGAATCACCCGCGTAGTCTAAATATGCTGCAGACGCCCGTCCCTGCTGTGGGCCTCTCGGGTCTAATGTGAGTCTTAGGGTTTGAGTGGGGGTCGCAGGCCCTGCCCAGGATTCTGCCAGCTTTGGAGCAGGATCTGGGGGTTTGGGCCAGAGTTCTTCAGCGGCTCTCGTGAGTAGCTGGTCCCCAAGGCCAGCCTCACGGCGCAGCCACATCCACCACCTGCCCCACCACGACTGGCTGAAGCTTGGCTCAGGCCCCACATCGATGTCCATCCGTGAATCTGCAGGCCCAGGGGTGGCACTGTGGGGTGGCACTGTGGGGGGTGGCACTGTGGGGTGGCACTGTGGAGTGGCGCTGTTGGGTGGCACTGTTGGTGGCACTGTTGGGAGTGAAAGCTTTATGAGGGGACCCAGCCCCTCCGCTTCCGTCTGTCATTGGAGTCACAGGTGAGCAGCTCCTTCCACCCCGTCCCGCCCAGACGCACCGTCCGGCTGCAGACCCAGGTCAGTGGGCCAGGCGCGTGGGCTGCAGGCTCTGAAACTAGGATCAAAATAAACCCTTGTCCTGACCAGCTGCTGACCTCGGGGATCTGATTGAGTGCTGGACCGCTGGCCGGGACACTCTGCTGAAGGAGTCCAGCTCTGGAGAACCAGCCCAAGCCCCCAGGGACCCCTGCCCTCAGCTCACCGGGTGGAGGTGGCACAGAGGTCCCGCGGGGGCAGCTGCGAGCTGTGTCCAGCCTCCTCCCTGGCCTGGCCTCTTTCTCGTGTGTCCTTCCTGGAAGCACCTGCTCTGTGACCGTCCCCTGGGGCCAGAGCGGGGGAGGCGTGTGGCCTGGGGAGTCGGCGGGCTGGGGCCACAGTGGTCGGGTGGAGCCCAGCTGACCGCGGGAAACTGAGGTGGGACCTTTGTGAGTCAAGTGGCTGAAACCCAGGTCCCGTGGACTGAGGCAGGTGGGGGGTGTGGGACTGTCACCAGCTGGACCATGTCCTTCAGAATTCATCAGCTGGGGCCCTGACCCCCGGGGAGGGAAGGATGCCACTGGATCGGGAAGAGGCTCTTTAAAGGGGGATTAGGGCGGCTCCGAATCCCGCGTGACCTGCACACTCTGAAGACAGATCGGGACAGGGACAGAGAGGGTGAGGAACTGGCCCGGAATTGCCCAGCCCTGGGTCTGTGAAACCGTGGAACCAAGATCCCGACCTAGAACTTGATCAGAGAGGCCAGACTGGCTGGTCCCCTGGCTGTGCCAGGCTCTGCCCCTGACTTGCTGTGAGTCTGTGGGCGAGTCCCCTGGGTGTCCTGCTTGTTTCCTGATGGGGTCGGACGGCGGAGGGAGTGAAAGGAGCTCTTGGGACCTTTCCAAGTCCCTGAGGAGGCAGGAGCTCGGGGCCCACAGGGCTGTCTCCGCCCTCAGACCTGCAGGGACAGAGCCGTCCCCTCAGGTGGGGGAGTGTCTAGCAAGGACACCTCTGTCCCCGTCACAGCTGGGTGCACAGACCAGGTGCACCCAGCTATGGGACCGGCCGGAATGGAAAGGAGGGAGCCCGGGCTGAGGCCCAGCCCCTGCTCAGGAGGAGACCCCCCACCAGCCACCCGGGCCTCAGTGTCCCCGTCTGTCAATCAGAAGAGCAACGCCAACCCGAGAGGGAGTCATGGTCGTGACTCGGTTGAAGGTGACGTTGTCCCTCCCTCAAGGGACGTCTGGCTGGGTCTGGAGAAGCTCTGGGGTGTCAGGGGCACGGGGGGCAAGGCCGGGGAGCTCCTGAACATCCTTCCAAGGACGTCCGGCCAGGACGTCCCCAGGCGGAGGCTCGGAGCGGCTGCCGAGGATCACAGCACACGGGCCGCTCGACGTCCCCAGATTCTCAGTTCCCTCTGGCTCTCCTGCCGCTCCTGGGGCCCACAGTCAAGGCTGTCCCCTACTGAATTCCAGGGCTCCCTCTCCCGGGGTCTGCTGCCCGGCCCCCTGGAGGGGGGCGCGCGGGAGGGTCCAGGTCTTGCTGGACAGCTGGCCCTCGCCACCTCGGCTACCGCTGAAGGATCCGCCAACCCTGGAAATGTTCAGAAAAACCCCGGAGTCTTCTGAACACAGACTTCTTGACCCTCCCCATTCCGCCCCAGATAATGCCGCCGAGCCTGGGACGGTGGCCCACGCCCGAATGCCAGTGATTCAGGAGGCTGAGGCAGGAGGACTGCAAGTTTGAGGCCAGACTGGACAACTGAGGGAGGCCCTGCGCAGCTCAGTGAGACCCTCAGTGGTGAGTGCCCCGGGTTCAAGCCCTGGAACCAAGCACACAGGACAGGGAGCCTGGGTTCTGGGGCACCACGTCGCGCTGTGTGCTAGAAGGCGTCTAGAGATGGCTTCGCGTGTCTGGGAGGGGACACCCGTGGGTCACCTGTAGATACTGTGTTGTTTCGTGTAAAGCACTTGAGCTCCCTCGGATCCCGTACCCTCGGGTGCTGGGTCCCCTCCCCCGGGGGTCCCCAGGGGGGCTGCACCTGCTTTCTCGCCTCTGGGTGGCTGCAGCCTTGGGGCACGCAGTGTCCCCGGGGCAGGGGGGCCTGGGCGAGCTGACCTGGCCCCGCGTACTGGCCGCCCTCTCCTGTCCCAGAGGACAAGACTCCACCCGTGACTGGCTAGGACTGTCCAGCAAGAGGCCCTGTCCTGTGCGCGGGTGCCAGCCCGGGCCAGTGTGTCTCCGGGCCCCGAGCCAACAGCGGGGACAATCTGTCCGAGAAGGAACCGACCCAAAGGGGAGTGAGCCTAAGAGCCGCAGGAAGGTGGACCCTGGGTCCAGGTGTCTCAGAGCCACCAGGTCCCGCAGGGCTGTCCGTGAGTCAGCGACGCCCTTAGGGCCTTGAACCATCTGGTCCCTGCCCCAGGCGGGGTGTGTCTGGAAGCCCCCTGGGATGGCGCTGCCCCTCAGCCGCGTTCCTCTGGACCCTGCAGGGCGCCACAGAAGTGTCTGCGGGGGTGGCCACCCTGGTCCGCCCTGTCCGCCGGCCACGGGAGGAGAAGCTACAGCGTGACCCGGGGACATTCATTAATTAGCAGTTTAAGGTACGACACCGACACCCGGCCGTGGGGACGGACCGAGGGCACGGCCTGGTGGCCTTGGGTGGCGGCTGGCCTCCCTGAGATGCATATCTGTCTGCTCCTGTGCTTCAGTCGTGGGGGCGTGGACGCGCTCAGGGGGATCTCGCATGTGACCACAGGGTCCCCCGGCAAAGAACCGAAAGCCAAGTTGGCTCTGTTCTCTGGAGGTTCGGGGGACCCGCGGGGGTCGGGGCTGGGACGCACCCGGCCACTCCAGGGGCCAGACGCGGACCGCGGAGCCCACCTGCAGGTGCCAAGGAGCCTCTGAGGGGCCAGGGCAGCGGGTGGAGGCCTCCGGCCGAGGCTTGGGCGCCTCCTGTGCCCCGTCTGTCTCCCCTGTGAATGCAGTTGGTGGTCACGCCCCGAGGACACTGGGCGCCCAGAACAAACTCCAGTGAAACCCGGCTGAGAGCAGCCCCCCGCCCGGGGGACAGGGGTCAGGGAGACGGCGCAGCCCGGGCCCTCCCCCGGGTGCCTGAAGGACCCTGGAAGGGGGCAGGGAAGGCTGGGCAGCCCCTGGGGCTGGGCAGCCAGCTCGGCTCAGTGCAGACGCCTGGGTTCCTATTTGAGGCCCCAGGCCTTAGGTGGCCCAAGTCAGCTGTGCCCTGGCCACCCAGGAGCCACCTCATGGGCCCGCCACATCAGCCCGTGGCCTCATAACCTCCAGCCCGAGCCCGGGGAAGAGTGAGGCATCTGCAGAAGGCAGGGCCCACGCCTGGTTGGACCCTGGGCTGCACTAAGTGCACCTGGGGTGACAGAGAGGCAGGGCCCCAGGGGGCGCCCTGGGAGCAGGCCGAGGCCAGCAGGTTCCACTGTCCCTTAGCACCTGAGGCGGCCCCTCCCTGCACTCTGCCCTGTGGGGCTCTTTCCAACCTCGGACTCTGCTCCTCCTGCCACAGGACATTTGCACCTGCTGCTCTGGGTCTGGGGTCCTTTTTGCCGACTGGACTCTGCTTCCTGACTAATCACCCCACGTGGGAAGTCCTGACGCCAGCTGCCTCTCGCTCCAGACTCGTCACAGGTGCTGGGATCCGAGTAGGTTCTGGGGACTCCCCCTGAGCCTGCAGGAAGGCTTCAGAAGCCGGGTCTCAGCTCAGGAGGCCCTCTCTGTCCCCAGGCTACCCCGCGACCACACTGGCCCGGGTCGCCGGGTCACGGGCACTTTCTCATCTCCAGCCTCGGCGTCCTCAGCACCACCTGGCCCTGGCCCCCGGGGGTCTCAGTCAGTCATGTCTGTGGCCAGCCCACTGACACCGTGTCCCCACCCAGCCTCGCAATGGCTCCCCGACGCCACCCTCCCCACTTGGAGCCGGGGCCTCCCTGTCCTCCTGACTAGTGACAGCCAGGGAGCCCGTTCCCTCCTGCCGAGGCACAAGTCTGGTGGCTGGACACCCGGGGACACCTCCTCCCCAGGTGAAGAGCCCGGCCGCGAGGCCCGTGGGCAGCCGGGACGTGCTGGCCCTGGCCCAGCAGGTGGCTTGGTGCCTGTGGGACCCCGGGGAAGCCAGCCCAGGCCGTCCACACCCGACCCCAGACCCCCGCCTGCTGGTCTGTGAGCAGGTGAAAGTCTGGGACGCTCTGAGCTGGGTCCAAGAACGCCCCTGAGACCCACCGGCCACCTGAAGGTGGAGGTGACAGAGGGGCAGGTAACAGGTGACACTGGGGCGGTCACTGGTCAGGCCTCCCCTCCCCTGTGCAGGACGGAGGCAGCGTCCCTGCAGGGATGCGCCAGCAGACAGAGGGCACCCAACTCCACTCTGACCTGCCTGGCCCTGTGGGTCATGCAGGAGGGTGGGCAGAGGGGTCAGTGTCCAGGGGACAGGGAGCCTGGGGTCTGCAGGCCCTGGGATGGGGCCCGAGTCCCCACCTGTGGCTTCTTAGCCTGAGGAGCCGTGCAAACCCCTCATCTGTGTCTCAATGTCCCCCTCCGTGAAATGGGCCCCTAGCCCCCTCAGGGGCTGCTGGGGACACTGACCAGAGCCACCCCGGGCTGAGCGCCAGGCGCTGGTGTTTATTATTGGTGTTAGAGTCCACTCCAGGGAGGACAGTGGCCATGGCCAGGAACCGGTCCCTGTCACAGTCACCTCCTTGGTGGCCACAGACTCCCCTCGGGGCTGGGGCTCAGGACAGTCTCCTTGTGGCCACATGCTGGTGGCACCCGCCATCCAGGGGTCACCAGGCCGCGGGGTTCTCGTCCTCACTGCGCAACGGAGAAGAGCCTCGGACGCGGGCGGAGGCGGTGGCCACGGAGCATGAGGGACTCACGGGACGGGCCTCAGGGCTGAGCGGGGGCGCTTGTCCCCGGGCGAGGGGTCCCCGCGTGGAAGTCAGGCCTGCGCAGTGTCCTGTCCCGCCTCCGTCCTGCCCCGTCCCCTCTCTGGCCTGGGGTGCCTGCCACCTGCCACCACCACCTGGACCCAGGGGCTGAGGATGGGGTGGAGGGTGCCAAGGAGAGGCTTGTCCCCCAGAGGGGACGGGGCCTTAGGAAGCCAGAGAGTCTGCCCGGCGGAGCCCACTGGCGCTGGACCCCCGGTCCCAGGAGGCATGTGGGGGCCTGCGCCCTGTCCCCGAGCCCCGTGCCCAAGTTCCTGGGCGGCACAGACGGCGAAGCTCTGAGAAGCACGTCACGGGGGTTCCTGGGTCCCGAGGCCACCCTTAGGGGACTGTCACCACACTGGGCTGTCTGGAGGGGAGGTGGCAGGTCCTCATCCTGTGTGGTGGCCTGGCCAGCTTGTCCCCGCTGGGACTCCCCACTGCCCACGTGGAGCGGGGCTGGTGTTTAGGGGTCTCCAGGGACGAGGAGCCCCAGGTGGTGGCATCATGGGGACCCCCAGGGGCATTCGGGGTCGCCCCAGGCTGCTGGCCATGCTGTCTCAGCCAGAGCCTCCCCGACTGTCCCCGAGGGGATGGAGCCTGGGACGCGTGAGGGTGTCCTTGCCCATGGCCGGGGGGAATGTGGCCTCACGTCCTCAGATCCGCGCTCGGGCCCCTCCCCGCCCCCTGCCTGGCTGCCTCCCGGGGGCGACTGGGGTCTCAGTGCGCCCAGCTGGGTGGCCGCCAGGTTACAGGGAGGTCCCCCTCCTCTCTGGGCTCCCGACTTGGAGTGTCCTACAGACCCTGGGGTTTGGAACCTCAAAAAGCCAAGCCACACACCAGAGATTCATCTCTCCCTTGGGTCCTGCGATCAGAAATGTGTCCCAGAAGGCCCAGGATTCAGATGGCTGTGCTCGTCGAGAAGGTCATGGAGATGGCTGGAGCCCTGGCAGCCTCGGGGAGGAGTGCATCTCGGGTCCATCTTGGCTCTGTGTGCTTTTCCACGAGGGGAAGTGATTTGTCGGGTGGAAGAACAGGCGCTTGTTGGTCCTCAGAGGCCCGCGCCTGCTGCAAACCTTGGAACATGAACTTTCCATTGGCTCCTGGTGCAAAGACCTCCCAGGAGGGGGAGCATCGGGCCAGTGTTCCAACTGGAGCAAAGCAGGAGAGAAGCAGTCCGGGGTCAGGCTCCTCGTGCTGTGGCTGGGGAATTAGACCCCGGCCCACCCCGTCACTTCCGGCTGTCTCCCGCGAGGGTTCAAAGTGTGTTACGGACATTAGCAATGGTTAATCCTCAGAAGTATTATAGATGAAGACGCTGAGGCACAGAGAGGGAGGCCACTGGGGAAAAACCACACAGCAAAACCACGTGGGTCAGGAGAAGGGCTGGAGGGTGCCCCTCCCAGCGCCCACTGATTTCACTCTGTGGGGTCTGTGGCTCCTTCAGGGCATCGGTGAGCACACTGTTTCAGGTGACAGGGACATCATAGCTGCAGTGACAACGTTTCCCGCACCAGATCCTAAACTCATCACCATGCTGTGCCGTTGTCACTGAACTCAGTCCTGCTCCTGTGGTCACGAGGCAGGGTGTCCGCGGTGGCCCAGGGGACCAGCGTTTTGCATGTCCACTCGACACGGAGCCCGCGAGTGGACCCAGTGCGCCACCCCGACTGTTGGGAGTCGTGACCCAGGTCAGAGCCCAGGTTCTCGGTCCCTCCCTGGTGCCCCTGGTGGCCCTGCCTGGCCCTGCTCTCTGCTGGCACGTGGGTGTGTGGTCAGCCCGGGCTCCGCCTCGCCTGGCCGAGGGCCACGGGTCTCCTGGGCCCCGCGCCCTTGTCCGTGGCCACAGTCTGTGGGGCTCCGCCCGGAGCAGAGGCGCTCCTCGGCCCCAGGTGGCTCTGTACAGGTCAGCACCTGGGGCCGGGGTGGCCTCTGTCCACGCAGGCTCCCTACACATTGGTGACCTCTGGGCTGCTGTAGCCGTCCAGACGGTACTGCTCCGGCCCGGCCTGCGCGTCATCGTCCCCGCACTCCTCGTTCTGAAGAGAGCCGTAGTCGTCGTGGAAATCCGGGTCTTTGCTGCTAAAGCCCCTTCCTATCTTCCCGAGGGGCAGCTGAGGACAGAGGGACAGGAGGAAGAGAGACAAGAACTGAGTGTCTGAGGCCTGGGAAATGTGGTGTCTCTAGTCTCGCTGTGTGACCTTGAGTAACTCCCTTGACTTCTCTGTGCTCCTCCTGTTAGTCATTCTACCTGAGTGCTCCAGGCGGCAGAGACCACTGTGTGAACCAACATCAGGAGACGGTTCCCTGTTCCCAGCTGGGAGGACTCAGTGGGTGACGAAGGGTAAGGACAAGTTTTATCACATCGATTCATGAAAACCTCCTCCCCCCCCCCCGGCTCAGGAGGAAGCGCGTTGGGAACAGGGGTACGGAAAGTCCCTGTGAGAACAGCTCAGCAGGGGCGCGGGGTCTGACTGCCTCCCCAGGTCCAGAGGGAACATTCTAGACCACCTGGCGTGGCAGGAACCGGTTTTGGAGACTCAGACTGGCATTGGGTCCCTGCTCTGTCACTTCCTGATGGGTGACCTCGGACTGTCACCGCCTCTCTCTGAATCTCAGTTTTCTCAGCTAGAAAATGGGAAACCCAGCAACCTCTGAGGGTCATTTAGGGTAGAAATCTTGTCTGCAGAGCACAGAGCAGTGCCGGCGCACAGTGGGAGCTGTTACCACGCACAGTAGGCCCCCAGCGAGCTCTTCTGTCAACGTCTCTGTCCTCTCCGTGGCGAAGGTGGTTAGTATTGTTCATTGCCTGATGTGGCCCGTCCTCTCTCTCCACCCCCCTTCCTTCCTCCTCCTCCTCCTCCTCCTCCTCCTCCTCCTCCTTCTTCCTCCTCCTCCTCCTCCTCCTCCTCCTCCTCCCAGCGCTGGGATTGCACCCCGGGCCTCCTGCACACCAAGTGAAAGCTCTACCCCTGAGCCCTCCCCAGCCCTTTACACTTTGAGATTTTGAGACAGGGTCTCGCTAAGTTGCTGAGGCTGGCCTCCAACGTGTCCTCCTGCCTCGGCCTCCGGAGTGCTGGGATTACAGGCGTGGGCCACTGCACAGCGGCCTTTCTCTCTAGACCACGGTTTGTCCACTTAAAAAATAATCTCTCTCCCCGAAGGAGATTCTGTAGACGGTTTTCCTAACTTGTCCCTGCCGTGACGCCTGAGGTCGGGTGACAGTGCACAGGTGGGATTTTTCAAACCCGCCCCCAAGGACAAGTTCTGACCCCTTTGGGGAGGGTGTCACCCTACTGCAGGTGTGTTCTAGACGGAGCATCCTGGGGGGTGACTCGATCCTGTCCCCAGGGTGGCGGTGGGACCGTTCACACCGGGCGGTGCTGCTGAGCAGATGGCCCTGTGTCACCCGGGTGACCTGTGTCCACAGGGTCCCCTTAGGACACACCCTGGCTGCAGGAGCTTCCCGGCCACGTGGCCGGGGTCGCCAAAGGTCGTCTCCTGCACTGGTCAGTGCTGGCCTCAGACCCCAGGCCAGCCGGGTCCTCCCTCCAGGGCGATGGCCGCACCTGCCTCCCTCCCCGGGCCCAGGCACAGGGCAGGTGGGCGAGACTACACTCTGAGCCCCGTGGGGACCACGGGGGCTCTTGTCACCAGGCCGAGGCGTCCCATGGGTCCTGGGAAGTGGCCACTGGGGTGGTCCCCAAAGCCCCCGAGACCCTGCCCCCTGCTGCACCGTCACAGGCCACAGAGGGAGGCCGGGAGTGGACAGTGGGGCCGGAGGCAGAGTGCCCTCGCAGGAGCGGGCCCCCTGGGTGGCCACCAGCGACTTACCCGGCCAGTCCTGTGCCTGCCGCTGCCCCCGATGTTGTCCTCTTTCCCCGCCCGGGTGACGCTGGAGGCCCTGCCCGGTGGCGTTCCAAAGCGCTCCGCCTCGCGGATGCCTGTGGAGCTGGGGACACAGCACTGTGCATCAGCAGGAGAGGCTCAGGCACCTGTGCCACCCAGGGACGTGCACACCGGTGACAAGGGTCACAGCTGCCAAGACTCCCTGGGCACCTCCCAGGAGCACCGAGCGCCTACACAGGGACTGCCTGCCAATCATGCTACAGAGGAGGGGAAGCAGGCACAGGGGGTGACCAACCTGCCCAAGGTCACACAGTGCCACCAGCAGAGCCGAGATCCAAACCCAAGTCCCCAAGTCTCTGAGACTCCGAAGTCTCTGAACTCTCCAGAAAGCTGAAACACTTACCAGGGAATGGAGGACTGGCGGGAAGAATCCCAATGTGACCTCAGAAGCCCAGGAAGTTGTTCCTGATCTGACTGAAATCCAGGTCCCCCCCCCCACTCCTCCATTCATTTTTTTTGTGAAAAAGCATCGAGACGCCCTGAGAGTCGGGTTTGGCCGACGGCGGCCCGGCCCCGTCAGCTGGCCCTGGCTTGTGTGTAAGTCCTCCTACCTGCAGACCGCGCCCAGCGGTCAGGGCCCCGTTCCTGGGCCTTTCTTGCTACGGCTCCCAGTCTACCCTCTTCTACCTTTCCTGGAGGAGGTGTGCCGGCCCCTGTGCCAGCCCGCCTGTCCCTGGAGACAGAAACCAGGGTTCTGTGGGCGGCGCTGGCCGGCGGCCTGCGTCCTGGGCTCCAGTGCCCCACCTGCCCTCTGGGTCCAGCCGCCCCAGGACCCGGGCTCGCTCGGCCCCTGCTTTCTCTGGCAGCGGGGGTGGCCCTGCGGTGACTGAGGGCCACGTCACCTGTCCAGCTTGCGGGGCCCAAGCCCCTGTGTCTGGGATCTGTCCAGGGCCTTCCCAGGCCAGCGTGGCCGAGCCCGGGTCTGCTCCTGGCCGTGTGACCCTGAGTGGCTTCTCTACAGCCTCCAGCCACCTCTCCCATCCTGGAGTTGTGGGGTTTGGCGCTCAGAGCCCCGCGGGTCTCCTAGGCACCGGACACCAGATGCTCAGGGGTCTGTTGGCTAGAGTTTGTGTCATGGTTCAGGCCACCGCGGAGATGGCTCATTAAGAGAAATGCACTTCTTTTTATTTTGTTTTTTATTTATTTATTTTTGGTTACTGGGGATTGAACTCAGGGGCACTGGACCACTGAGCCCCATCCCTAGCCCTTTTCTGTATTTTATTAGGGACAGGATCTCACTGAGCTGCTTAGGGCCTCACTCAATTGCAGAGGCTGGCTTTGAAGTTGAGATCCTCCTGCCTCAGCCTCCTGAGTGGCTGGGCTTGCAGGCGGGCGCCATGGGCCTCATGAGAAGTGCCCTCGAGCACCTTTTAAGCTGCTGCTATAGTTCGGATCTGAAGTGTCCCCAAAGGCCCGTGTACTAAAGGCTTGGGGTCCCAGCTTGGTGCCACTTGGTGGTGAGACCTGTGGGCCAGGCCACCCCCCCCCATGAGGTGACCGCCGGGCATTTTTCCCAGTAGCGGGAAACTGACGGGCTGAGCCGCTCAGAGCTTCTGCTGATCTGGGCCACGTTTCTGGGAAAGTTCCGGGGCGGGGAGGGGCGCCTCGGAGACGGTAGTGACAGGGTGATGCCAAACGGGGCGAAGTCCTAGACCACGACCCGGGCTGCCACCCACCAGCGTCGGGCTTGGAGGGCTTCACGGGTGACCGCCCTCCCTATGCACCAGGGGATGAGATCCCGGGGGGTCAGTGGGTGGGAGCAGTTCTCCTGAGAGGAGCCACCTGTTGGCCCTGAATTCTCCCGACTCGTGGAGCCTGGGTGACGTGGGAAGAGCCCCGCGTCCCTTCTCCTGCTCTTCCTGAAGAAGAGACAGAAGTCCAGAGTGGGTGTGCCTCTTGTCCAAGGACACCCAAAGCCCACGGTGGCGGGGAGGGAAGTTGAGCTGGGGCTCTGGGATCAAGAGTTAGACGGGGTCTTCTCACCCTGGGTTCAGGGCCGGCGAGTGTGGCCTGGCTTGGTCCCTGAGCATTCGGGTCACCTGGGCTGGGAGGGGTTCATGACGCACATCCCCACGAGGCTGTGGGGAGGGTCCAGGAGAGGCACTAAGCTCTGAGAAGTGCTGCGTGAGGACCACTGCTGTGACCACACGTCACAGGTTTGAGGACAGAGCTGGTTTGAGTCCCTGCTCAACGGTCCCCTGGCTGTGTCCTTGTGCAGGGTGTGGCCTGGGCCTCAGTGTCCTTGCCTGTACAGCAGAGCCCAGTAGGCCGCTGCCACCACTGTGCCGTGACATCTTCCCTCTTGGCTTTTTCCACAGGGACTGAAATCCAACCCCCCATAGACATAATTTTGGGTCAAAACCCATGAAAACATAAAAGTGCCAGGGAATCGGCCAAGCACAAGGCAAAGGTCTTTGGAAGCTCCAATGGACCCAGGAAATACTTCTAGTCACTCAGGCTTTGAGCAAAGGGATGTTGGGGGGGGGGGCTAAGTTTTGTGGAAAGTTCTGGAGAAGGGGCATCCTGGCTATATGACTGTTTTTTGTTACTATTGTGTAATACCTGAGGCAGGCTACCTTATAGGGAAAAGAGGTTTATTTAGCTCAGTTTTGGAGGTAGGAAGGCCCAACAGCATGGTGTAGGCTCTTGCGAGGTCCCCCTGGCTGCATTACATCATGGTGGGGGACTGTATGTATCTCTCTGTGGGGTCTCTGTCCCTCTGCTTATTAAGCCACCAGGAGCCATCCATGGGGACTCCACCCTAGTGACCTCATCTGTCACGATCACTTCCCCGAGGCCCCACCTCGAAACACTGCGGCTGGATTTAGTGTCCTGAGAGTCTGGGGATTAAGGCCCTGCATGAGCTCATGGGGACAAGTCACATTCAGACCACAGCACTCTGCCCTGTCCCCGAAACTCACGTCCTCATGTCACATAAACCTCAGTCCTTTGTCCCCAGTGGTTCCAAGGTCTCATCTGAGACTCACAGACTCTCCCAGCCGTGAACCGACAAACCTCGGCAAGTGACCTGCTTCCAAGCTTCCCATACCCAGGGTGGCCTGGGCACAAGCCATCACCCCTGGGGTTTCCTGAGCCAGCGTACTGCAGCTGGGCCCAGGAGAGGTGTCATGGGCAGGGGGGGTGGTGGCCGGCCTGCGGGCTGTTGGACAGGGACTCTCAGGGCTCTCCATGTGCGGGACTGTGGTGGGGACAGATGAGGTGGGGGAGAGAGCGGCACCCGCTGCCCCTGCACCCGGAGCCCACAGCACCCTCTCGACACCCAGGAGGCAGGAGTGAAGTTAAACCCAATGCACGCTGAGGACTGAGGCTCAGAGAGGGCAAGCGTCTGCCCTGAAATCACACAGAAGATGGTGGAGAAGCCCGACTTGAGCCCCAGGACTGGCTGGGCCCCGGTGGCAGAGCTGACAGACAGATGACAGGGAGGGACAGAGAGCTGGAGACGGGGGTGGAGAGACAGAGACGGAAGCAGGAGAAGCAGGGGGGAGGGGGAGGCCTGGACTCCTGTGCCTGCAGCTCAGCCTCTGCCCGTGGGGCGGGGACGGCAGGGGCTGGAGGAGCCAGGAAGCGAGGCCGCAGCTGGCCCCCGGCTGCCCGTCCTGCCCCTCCTGCTGTGGGTCCCCGGGCTTCGCTTCTCCTCATCTGTGACGCAGAGTCCTGTGGGGGACCCGCGGCTGGCGCTGACCAGCGGCAGGGATCAGCTCGTGTGGAGGCAGATGGCAGGGGACACCGTCAGACACTGCTCCCTGGGTCCTGTGCGTTGTCATGGTGATGGAGGTGGGAGGATGACCTCATGGAACCCAGAGACTCTTGGTGACTGTGTGTCCCTGGGGTCAGGCTTGTTGTCCCCCAAGAGGCTCGGAGCCGACCGCTCTGCCCCTCCCCCTGCTTTAAGTGACCACAGGACCTCAGGGGACACACCTGCTAGGTGTAGGACCTGTCCTCATCTGCCTCCTCGGGGTTCCCCAGCCTGGAGGAAGGTCACCGGACGAGGACTCCTTGGTGGCAGAAGCCAGGGCTGCCTCTGACCCTTGTCACATCTTGGGAAGTCACAGCCCCTCCCTGGGGCCTCCGATTCTCATCCATAAGATGGGGCGATGACCCCTCCTCATGGGGGTGTGGGGGGTTCAGATGAAACAGGGTGTGACACCTTTGTCCCCGACACCTTCTGACGTCAGCATTTGTGACAGAGTGTGAGGCCTGCTGTGGTCACCTCCCGGGAGCTCAGTCTGGGGTGGCCTGGGGGAGCCCCGATGTCCATCCCGATGACTCGGGGTGTGTCGGAACCTGGCACCCCCCGTCAGCAGCAGCCCAGAGCCGGACATGAGGGCACATCCATGGTGCCAGCCACTCTGGGGGCCGAGGCAGGAGGTCATGAGTTCAAAGCCAGACTTGGTGACTTAGAGGGACCCTGACTCAAGAGCAAGGAGAGCCTTCCGGAAGGACTCACCCAGAGGGCCAGGCCACCTCCCCTCCCCGTTCTGTCCCTGTCCCCAGAAATCTGGAAGAGGAGCAGGGCCACGGGGCAGCGGACGGGGGCTCCCCGCGTGGACCACAGCAGAGACGTCCTGGGCGGAGCCCTCGGCGAGCAGCACCCCGTCCACCTCCCAAGTGTCCCTCCACAAGCCGCGGATCACTGTCCCCCACCCCCCGTGTTGGCTTAGCTGGGGATTGTCCCAGCTAAGAAGTGTCTCTAAATGCCCTGGGACTCTGTGTCCCTCAACTGACCCAAGCCTGTTCCCCTGGCCTGTGGGTCAGGGTCTCAACCAAGGGGATCTGAAATCCCACCCGGGGACCTTGACTCGGGAGCCATGTGTGGACGTGTGGGGGACAGCAGGGTGAGGACAGGGTGATAACAGGGCGTCTGGCGTGGGCCAGGGGCTGGCACTGCCTCTCTGTCCTCGGCCACCAGCATCAGGCTCCACGTGTGTGAGGTGAGGAGCCTGGACCAAGTCCCGTCCCCTCCTCTGACCCTGTCTGCACGAGGTCCTCTGGGACGCCCTGGCCTCCCAAGACACAAGGACCCGCCCTGTTGTCCCCACCAGGACCTTCCGCGCTCACCCACTGGTCCCGGACAGTCCCGAGCCCACCCGTTACCCCGTGGTGGTCAAGGTTTAAGGGTCACACGAAGGTGGTCGGGGGAGGCGGTGACCTGGAGAAGGGAAGCCCTTTCCTGATGGATCCCGGGTTCACAGAACAGAGTTTCCATCCGACTTTGCAACTACCCCAAAAGGCTCAAAATGAGGGTCCGCGGGCTCCGCCAGGCACAGGGCCACGGTCTGAGATGGACCAAGGGATCGGCATGTGCAGGATCCACCCCGAGAACCGCGTGGTCTCCGGGGCTGATGGGGAAGGGCAGCCCAGGGCCCGGGACCCGCCCCAGACGGACGACACTCTCCGGAGCCTGTTTCTGCGCCTGCGAGGCACAGGGAGTGGCCAGCGGCTCCCAAGGCCCCGGGGTCTGGGTTTCCCGTTCTCAGGTCCAAGTCAAAGAGCCCAGGGTCAATCTGGGCTCTGTCTTCTCAGCTGACAAACCTTAGCTAGACCAGCCATGAAAGAGAGGAGTCCAGTGGCCAGCCCCAGGAAGGACAGGGGGCTTCCGGAGCAGCCTTGCAGAGAGGCCATGAGGGACGATTGTAGGATTCATTGTGCGCATGAGCAATTCTCCTAGATGAAGCGGACACATTCCTGGGGGAGTGTGGCCACTGAAGCTGACTCCAAAAGCAAGAGAAAACGTTAATAAGCCCCTAACAAGTAAAGAGAGAGAATTAGTCATCAAAACGCTTTTCGCAGAGGGGAACCTACCGACAGACGGTTTCACGGGTGAATTCTCCTAAATGTTTCAAGAATAATGAACAGCAACCCTACAGACCCTTCCAAGCAACACAAGTTCCCAACTCACTCCAGGAGCCGGCGTTGCCCGGACACCCAAACCAGACAGAAGCACCATCAGACAAGAACTGCGGGCCAACGTCCTTTCTAGATATAAACGCAAAAATCCCGAATGCAGTATCCGCAGACCCAACCCAGCAACGTGCAAAAGTATCGCACACTCTGACCAGGCGAGGTCGCCCCAGACATGCAAGGATGGCTCAATCCGTGACCGACCAGCCGTCCAATTCGCCACATGGGTAGAATAAAAGACCACCGAGGCCCTGCCCCTGCTGGCTGCTGACCCTGGGCAGGGGGCACGGCCCCTTAGAACGAATTTCTCATGTGTGGAGGAGGGACGGGGATCTGATTGGCGCCAGGAGGGTGGACTCAGGATACCCAGCCAGTGCCGCATGGATGACCCCCTGGGCTAAGGCGGAGGGAGGGGAGGGCAGTGCCTGTGGGTGAAGCCTGGGCATGTTCTAGGTGAGGACGCTGGAGCAGGCAGGTGCCCAGTGCCCTGCTCCCTGGGCCACAAGCTCCATTAACGTGCCCACTCCTGCCCAGGCCCTTGCCTGCAGCTGGAGCTGCCATCTCACCCTAGGAGGTGGACTTCCCTCCTCCTAGCCCCTGACCTCAGTGTCCTGGGCACCGTCGTGCTAGGTGGGGTCCAGCCAGGGATGGTCAGGACTGAGGCCAGGGCCCTCCGCTTCGAGGGCCCCGCCCGCCGCGGGCACTCACTTGGCCGGGTGGAAGACGGCGCTCATCTCCTCGGCCAGGTGTCTCCGGAGGATGTGCTTCCCGCTGGGGATGCCCAGGGCCGTGGCCATGGCCTCGGCATTGAACGTGGGCTCCAGGACCAACACCGCGCCGTGCACGCCGCTGTTGGTCAGGTTGTCCGCGTACTCCTGGGGACAGAGCACGAGGCGGGGCCTGGAGGGGACCTCCCCGACCCTCAGAGCCCCGAGGGGCGGCTCTTGTCACTCACAGGCCCCTGACCCCAGCAGGGGCTCGTGATTATTTGTGGCGTTCAAGATGCACCTGGATCTGGACCCCACACTTGCTTAGATGGGTGCGGCTGGCTCAGTGCCCCTCATGACATTAGCGTCACCACAGGGTCCCCCAGGGCTGGGAATGAGTGGCTGCCTCTGTGAGTGACAGGAGGGGTGGCCTTCTTGCAGGCCTCGGAGATGAGGCCGCGGCCACACAAAGACGGATATTGGTTCACACACAAATGGCGCCCGGGGTCTGCCCGCGCTGGAGCCCCCGCCTGGCCCGCCACCCAGCACCCGCCACCTGCCACCCGCCACGTGCCCACCTTCAGGTCGATGTCCCGCACCCACTGTAGCACGCGCTGGTTGGTCCACACCACGGGGTCCGTGTTCTGCGTCTCGCAGCGGGCCCGGCGCTCCTGCAGAGCCTTGGGGACAGAGGGACCATTGAGGGGACGAGGGGCACATGTGGAGGGAGGGTCCCCTGGGCTGCAGGGGTCTCAGCGAGCCGTGTGAGGAGGGCCGTGTGCACTGCCCCACGAGGCCGTCCTGTGGCTCCCCGGGGTGAGGGGCAGCGAGGCCACGGCTGCGGGTTCTGATCCGCGTCCCCGCTGCCCTGCCCCCAGGGCCCAGTGAATATCTGTGTGGTCTTTCCCATGGGCGCAGGGGACCTGCCTGGCCTCTGGGTGGTGAATGGCACGGCATCAAATGCCACCCATGAGGGCCTGCAGAGGGTTGGCCTGCTGCCCCTCAGAGGTCCCCTGGGGGACGGACTCCTGGTCAACCTTCTCCCATGGGGACGCTCCCTCACTGGGGCTGCCCAACTGCAGACTCTCCCCCATGTGCCCTGACCAGCTCCCCTGACCCTCTGTGTCCTCTTGTACCCATCACTGTCACGACTGACCCTGTCACACTATCACCCTGTCACTGGGGGCCCGTGTTCTCATGTCCCCTGCAGAGGCTGTGGGAGGAGTGGGAGGTTGGACAGTCCCCTCTGCCCCTCCCTGCAGACCCTGGACAGCTTGTGTTCTGGTATTGCCTGCAGAACAGCCATCTGGGCCCTGCCCAGCAGCCAGGGGTCTCTGCCTCTGGGGGTCAGTGCAGAGGCCCTTGGGCTGAAGTCACTGACGCACAGTCCAGACTCTACGGCGTGCACAGGCCCTGGTCACTGCCCTCCTCACGCCCACGCAGGACTCGGCTCCTGCGCTGCCGCAGACCGGGCCTCTGTCCTCTGGCCTGCTGTCCCTCTGCTGCGTTCTTCCCTCCTGTTATCCGCCCTGGGTCTCTCGAGCTCCTCCTTGAGCCTCACGCTCTCTGGAAGCCCTTCCTGACCCCTGGAGGCTCCTTCTCTGGGTTTTCATAAATGCCCCGGCTTCTCTCCCAGGGTCAGTGTCCCTCAGTGTGGCCATCCCTGGCCTCTTTGTGGGTGTCCCGCAGGAGCAGTGGGCTCTCTGAGGGTGAGGGGCCCCATTTCCCCTGAATCCAGCCAAATAAGCAGTTGTCGGGAGGATAGATGGGAGTTTGGATGGGAGGATGGATGGGGGGATGGATGGGATGATGGATGGGGGGATGGATGGGAGGATGGATGGGGGGATGGATGGGAGGATGGATGGGAGGATGGATGGGGGATGGATGGGAGGATGGATGGGAGATGGATGGGAGTTTGGATGGGAGGATGGATGGGAGGATGGATGGGAGGATGGATGGGGGATGGATGGGGGATGGATGGGAGGATGGATGGGAGGATGGATGGGAGGATGGATGGGAGGATGGATGGGGGATGGATGGGGGGATGGATGGGAGGATGGATGGGAGGTTTCATGGGAGGTTAGATGGGAGGATGGTAGGGAGGATGGATGGGGGATGGATGGGAGGATGGATGGGGGGATGGATGGGGGGATGGATGGGAGGATGGATGGGAGGATGGATGGGAGGTTAGATGGGAGGATGGTAGGGAGGATGGATGGGAGGATGGATGGGAGGATGGATGGGGGGATGGATGGGAGGATGGATGGGAGGATGGATGGGAGGTTAGATGGGAGGATGGTTGGGGGATGGGTGGGAGGATGGGTGGGAGGATGGATGGATGGGTGGAGGGAGCGAGGCCGGGCGCCAACGGGTAGCCAGACAGTGGACACGCAGGAGAAGGCGGGGCTGCGGGGGGCTCACCTCCCTGCTGAAGTTCACTTGGTAGAGCAGCTCGATGCCCAGCAGGATGCTGACCTGGTGGAACTTCTTGGACACGCTCAGGTGCTTCTCCAGGTCCCGCTTCACGAGGGAGTGCAGCATCCGCCCGTCCACCAGGTGGTTCTGGAAGGCCTGGGAGTACTGGGACAGGCCGATGTCCTTCAGCCAGGCCTTGGCCACCCAGTGATGGTCCAGGTCGGCGGCTTTCGACAGGCTGGTGAGGGGACAGCCCGAGAGAGGGCGGAGGGCAGGCGTCAGGCCCCGAGGCCAGCGGGAGGAGGAGCGGAGGGGGGCAGGGGGGACAGGGACGGAGGGAGAGGAGGAGAGGAAGGGGCGGGGTCAAGGGTTAAGGACCAGGACAGGGGCCAGTGGAGGCCCGAGGACTAGGGATGGAGGGGACCCGTCCTATGTACCGTGCGTGACAGGGACCCTGACAGCGGGCAGAGGGACGCAGCAGGAAGCAGTGCCTCGCGGAGCTCCCACGCCTGGGCCACTTTTGCTTCTCGGGGACTCTGCAGAGTCCCGAGACCCCAGAGCCTCGTGTGGCCCACCCGAGGCACGTCCCCTCTGCCCTGGCCCCCTTGATGACACTCTGGTCTGTTCTCCTGTTTGGAGACTATGAAAAGCCCTGAGGTGGCCCTCACAGAGTGTCCCCTCCCGGTGCGCCACACAGGTCCTGGTCCTGGGCGGCTCTGGTGTGAGGAAGGTGCCACCGTCCTTCCTTCTTCCCAGAGCCACACAGAGGTGCTGTGTGTTTTTCTTATTCAAGAACTCCCTCTCTCCTGCCACCTCTCTGCCATAGGTCAGGCTTCTCCGTGTCCCCCACAGAATAAACCTCAGGGCCACACACAGTAGGTCCACAACTAATGCTTCCAGTGGGTCTCAGGCTGGTGGGCCGTGGGGCGCTCCTGGCTGTCATCCCTCTGCCCGCCACATGGTGGCAGCCTCGCAGAAGGAATGAGGTCTGCGGGTCCCACCTGCAGGGACCAGTTAAGGACCAGGGCTGCCAGGCAGGAGCCAGGGAGCCCAGGGGACACGGAGGGAGGCCGAGTGCCAGGGAAAGTGGTGGTGGCTTACAGAGGCACAGTGTCCTGCCCAGGAAGCGGGTCAGGCTGCCTGCCAGCTGCAGGTGGCCCCTCTCTGTCCTGCCTTCTTCCCGCCAGGACCTGGGGCGGGTCTCCTGAGCACCCAGTCTGGGTGTTCTCCTCTCTGGGTGGGTCCTCCCCAGGACTCCGATGGCATCCATGGGCTCCTCTCCCAGTCACAGGCACCACACAGGTGAGGCCCCAGGCCAGCAGCCCCTCCTCGCCTGCCTGTCCCCCACCCCCGACTTCCCGCTGATTTCCCGGGTCCGCGGTCGTCGTCCCCTCGCGGCTTTCCCAGCCTTGGGACGGCAGCGCCTCTGCTGTGGGTCTTGCCGCAGCCTCACGCCTGCTTTTCCCTGTCCCTGTGGCCACAGCTGGCCCTGTGACAGCATCAACTGGACGTGTGGCTCCAGGCCTAACACCCTGGTGGCTGTCCCCATGGCAACACGACCAGGGTCCTCTGAGTGGCCTCCGGGTACTGCCCACACGGCACTTGCTGACCTCCCAGCTCGCTCCTTCCAGCCCTGTGAGATGGGCTCTGTCCCCCGCTCACTGTCTGAAGTCACCCCCCAAATCCTGCTGTCCTGTTTCTGCTGCCGTCCAGGGCACTCGTCACGCATCATGGGTCTGGCCACCAGCTTTCCCTGCTGCCCGCCCCCAGGGAGAAGTCCCGCGAGGGGCCGTGTCTCTGCAGAGCAGTGAGCCTGGATCGGGGCCACTCGGGCAGGCGGCCTCCCTCCACCTCCCTGAGGACCTGGCCTCCCAGGGCCCCTGGGCTCCTCTGGGCCTGTGTCACCCCTGCCCTCTTGGCCGACTTCTGCTGACCCTGCTGGCCCCCGGGACTCATGGCTGGGTGAGGCCTCTCCGGGCCCCACCACGCCCCACCCAAGTTCCCAGCCACGCGTCTGCCCTCTGCTGGCCCAGTCTGCTACCCCCCAAGGCCGTCAGCTCCTGCAGGGCAGGACCCGGCCGAGTCCCGCCTAACTTGGGCTTCACGCCGGCTGGTGTTGGTTGCAGCCCACAGTGTGACTGGGCAGGGCTGGGCATGGGGTGTGGGCTCCAGTCCACCCGGAGGCCGCTGCCAGGTGGGGCTCTGGAGCCCTGTGGGAAGAGGAGGCCGGGCAGACCGTCCACCCTCCAGGGCCAGCCTGGCTCTCACAGAGAGGCCTTCCAGGGCCCAGGCTTCGCGGCTCTAAACTGGATGCCGTTGGGCCAGGTTGTCACCCATGGAAACAGAGTGGCCTCCTCTCCTTCCTGAAGCAAGGGTTTGCCCAGCTGCTCGATGGTGCGGGGGCTGGGGTGGCCGGCGGGGAGGGGCCTCTCCCTACCTGCTCCAGAGAGGCCCATTCATCCTCAGCAACGTCCACCCCCACACTGACAATTAATGCGCCCCCGCCCTTCAGATGGTCCTCTTTTCATAAAGTTGTCCCCACGGGGCCTCAGCTGGTGACACTCTCCCAGCTGCTGGGTGGAGCTATTGTAAGAGCCCGAGTCAACCAAACAGCAAAGCTCAGAAAGTGATTCTGACACTTTATAGAATTTGTCACCACCTCCTCCCTGAGCCAGGGCCAGATTAGACCCTGGAACCCAAGGCCAGGCACAGGAGGGACACAGTCTGGGTCCTTACTCAATGCAAAAAATGCAGGGCTGTTTCTGTCTTCACAATGGGGTATGAATGTCCGTCTGATGACTGATGGGTAAATAGAACTGCATTCATAGAGTTTCAGGTGATGGATTGGTAAGGGGTCGAAGGGTTTCATTGTCACTATTTTGGGAAACTGGGCCCAGAGAGGGTAATATCACGCCCATAGTCACACAGGAAGTCCCAGGTGGAAATGTTCTCAGAGGTGACCTTATTTGGGGTTCTAATCCCACAGTCCACGAGCTCCTAAAAGTTTTGTGGGTGAAAAGAGGTTTTTTGGAAAGCAAAGTTAAGTTAAGGTCGCATACGTTTCCTCTGGGGAAGGCCCCGAGGGCTCTTAATAGATTCTCCAAGGGGCCGAGATCCTCAAAGGTTTAAAAACCACTGTCCTAATTCACCCATTTCCTTTTACAGGTGGGGAACCTGAGTCCCAGAGGAGGTGAGGTCACAAGGCCAGTTCGGGACAGGCTCGATTTCCACGGGGATGGGAAACCACAATAAGGTCTGTCTCAGGGAGGCCCGGGGTGCCCTGTGCTGTGGCTGGCGGACCCGGGGCCAGTCTGCTCGGCTCTGGTTCATGTCAGACTGTGGGCTCCTGGACATCCTCAGGTCAGGACTGTTTGGACTCATAGATGACAGATGTTTGTCCTCTGTGACCTTCAGTGTGCTGGGATTTGGAGGCCAGGCCTTTGGGAGATGGTCAGGGTCACGTGAGGCCCAGGTGAGCAGTTGCTCTCTCCCTCCCCCGCCCTCCTCTGCCTCTCGGTCTCCTGGTCCTGGCTGTGTGAGGCCACCTCGTCCGTCACCAGGAAGAGGCCTCAGCAGAGCCAGAACGTGAGGAACAACCTCTGCTGTCCAACACTGGCCACTGGAGACTCAGCTCCGGCTAAGGCGGCCGTGTTTCAGGGGAACCTGGGCGGCCGGACTCCCCGCGTCCTCCAGGGCTGAAGCAGGCCACCCTGCCTGGGTAGTGGACACAGGCCACATTGACGGACTCTGTGGGGTGTGGGTGGGGCGGGAGGGCTCCGGAGAGACGGAACTGGGCGGGAGGCGGGTGGTGAGCGAGGAAGGCCTGGGACCCTCAGGAGCTCAGGAGGGGAACCCCGTGGGGGGCACCCCTGGTCCTACGGGTCACCCTGCCCCCTTGCCTCAGCCCCAGCCCTGGCCTGTAGGACGGGCCACCGGCCTTCTGGATGCTTGCTGAGAGTGGCCGCCCTAGATTCTGATCCGGTCTCGGCGTGTCCCGCCACCTCAGAATCCCGCAGGCCAAGGACCCCGCTGCTGGACACATAGGACCTGGTTTTCCTGTTTGCAGACCGGCCGGATTCTCCACCCCCAGCCCCTCTCCCTTTGATCCTGAAGCTGCTTCTGCAAATAACAGCACACGCCACCAGGTTTGACTGATTAACTGCACGAAAATGATGGGGCCCAGTGAAGGAGAAAATTATGCAAAACAGAAAGTGTCACATTTAAAGCCCGGTCCTCCCCTCCGCAGGCTGAGACCCACGGGGGGTCCTTCCCTTCTCCCTGGTGCTGCCGGGTCAGCGAAGGGCCCCTCAGGAGAGAGGGAACAGGAAGCCGGGCAGGTGAGCAGGGAGGGCAGGTGGGCTCCGGGGAAGACACCTGATGGGAGGGGCGGCCAGCCCCCCCCCCCAGCGCCTCCTCCTCTGGGGGGTGACCTCCCTGTGCCTGTCCCCGGCCCTGGAACGGGAGGACGGAGCTGTCCTCACTTCACAGTGGTGAGAGCCGAGGTCTGAGCTGCAGGAGGGGAGGCGGAGAGCGCCCGGGACCCTGCGCCGCAGTGGGGTGTCCTGGGCCCTTGGGGAGCGGGCACCACCTTCCTTGCATGTCCATCTCCGCGCAGTGACCGGGGTGTGGCTGGGCCTCTCGGTCACACCCCGACACCCCGCCTGGGGCAGCTCACGGAGCCCCGATGCCCCGCGGCTGTGTGCTGAGGCCGAGTGGACGGCCCGCCCGTCGCGAGCGCCACTCACCTCCTGCCCGCCTCCGCGTCGCGGTAGTCCTCGATGGCCAGGCGGAGCTTGCGCCGGTGCAGGGAGCTGCACACGCCCAGGCCCAGCTCCAGGTCCTCGTCACTCAGGCTCAGCAGCACCTGCTCCCGGGAGGGGGCACTGAGCACCGGGGAGGGGCAGGGCGGGGAGCAGGGACTGTCCTGAGCGCCCGGGGTGTCCCCGGCCCTGCTGGCTGCCGGTTGGGGCCACACGCAGGGGTCTGTTGGCGAGGGCCCCGCCCCTTGTCCCCCTGCCGGCCTCCCCTGGCAGTCGGGCACCAAAGTCTCCCTGCAACCTGCCCTGGCTGCTGCCCATCATGAGAGACGCCACCACAGGCTTGGGTGGCTCCCTCCAGCCAGTCCCACCTCCCTCCCACCAGGCAAGGAAGATTGGCCCCATTTTAAAAGTGAAGTGGCTGAGGTCCCCAAAGACTGTGTTTTGCAAGGGAGACACTGACCTCGCAGGGACCCCGACGTCCCAGCATGCAGTGGCCGCCCCTGGACTGGCCCTGCTCCTGACCGCACAGGGGGAAGCGGTGGGAGGGCGTGGGCCGGGCCACGGTGGGCCAGAGCCGCCTACCTTCCCGCTCTTGACGTTCTCTGCGCAGGCCTTGACGTACATGGGCATGGCCATGACCACCTCCAGCCAGGCCTGGACGGCGCCCGCCTTCCAGTGGGACATGGGCGTGCTCCTGACCAGCTCCACCTGCTGCAGCCGGTCCACCTGCTCCTCGCCCTCCGACAGGCTGAGGCTCTGCCGAGTGGGGCTGCACTGGCTGTCGGAGTCTGCAACACACAAGCACACGCGGCCACGCTGGGGACAGGGCCGCAGGGACCGGCTGGGCAGGCCTCTCTTCCCCACGCCTCTCTGGTCTTCAACATCAAAATGGCTTTGGTCGGTTTGTGCCTGCCATCTCTCCCCCATGAGAAAAGTCATCTCGGCCCCCTCCAAAGAAAACGAGAAAAATGATGAACTGGTTTCAGAAAGGAGTGGGGACCTCCCTGCCACCCAGAGGCAGCAGCTGTGACCGCTGAGCTCCACATTCTTTGGGAGACACAGACGTCCCTCCCCCCACGCAGACACACACGATAGCACTGATGCTGTCACTCACACCACGGGTCAGAACAGCCTTCCCTCTCAACAGACACCTGCAGCACCTTGGGAAGGCCGGGGACTCACTGGAAGGGTCCCCTGTCATTGATTGTACCTGCTTCCTATGGATGGGCAGTTTCCAATTTTTCTCTATTGTAAACAACATGGCGGCCGTTATCTTTGGGCAATGGGGTGATTTACTTTCTGGGAAGAAATGTGACCGGGCTCCACCCCTGAACATGCTCACGCCAGTGTCTGGAGTGGCGCTCACGGACGCTCACGGAGAGGAAAAGAAATAAGTCCCTCCATCAACATCCCAGCCCGGCCCTGCAATCTATCTGCTGGGACCACACCTGGTAAATACATAAGATGCAGGAGGTCAGATGGACCCAATCCATCAAGAAATCTCTCTAAAATAGGCTTAAAAAAGGGGTGGGACAGATTCGACACCTGGAGAAATAACAAACATTAAAAACACAACCCTGATTAGAAATACCCCTGCCCAACATGCTGTATCATAAATCATTATAATGATGTAAAAATGCTTATTCATCAGAACAAACCGGGCACAGTTGAAACTGTGAGTCCCTAAGGCACACCCGTGTTCAGGGCAAGCTACCGGGTGCTGGGGAGAACAGGCTTTTTCTGCCCACGATTCCTTTGTTATTATCAAAGTTCCATAATAAACGTGCATAGTCTGACTATGAAAAAATATGGAAAGATTAAAAGCCAGGAAGCAGTGACTTGGTTGTTGATGAAGGTCCGTTTGAATGAATGATGCGCGTTCGTGTTGGAACTCACGCAATCAGTGCAGTTAATTTAAAAGTCCGTAATGGAAGGATGTTTTTGACGTGGGAAAACGCTCATCTTCTGTTTCCAAGTGAAAAGGGAAAAACTTGCAGGCACCATAATTATGCTCCTGTATGTATACATGTGTCCCTAGTTCCCGGTGGACCATGTGGAGTCGGTCTCTGGAGGCAGGATGGGTAATTGTGCCCGAGTACGAGCGTGTGTGAGTTCACACACGTGTTGGGAGGGTCTGTGAGCACACGCCTAATTTTCTGTTCTCCAAGTTTTTTTTTTGCAACAATCGGGGATGGGCTGAGTATCCCTCATCTGTGTGTTTGGGATTTTGACTTTGGAATCTTGCACGTACATAATGAGAGGCCCTGGGGCTGGACACAGGTCTAAAGGTGACCCTCAGTCCTGTTCCACGTGCACCCTATACACAGGGACTCAGGTGATTTCATACAATGTTTTGCATAACTCTGTGCATGGAACAAAGTTTCACCGGGTGGAATTTTCCATCTGTGGCATGACCTGGGCACTCAACACAGGTCGGATCTGGGAATAGTTTGGATTTGGGGAATAGGGATGATCAAGCTGTGTTGTTTGAAATCCAGAAAAGCCCACAGTCTAGAAGCCTCTCCCAGGTTTTACGGCCCTTCCCCAGCGCCTTCCCTCCCTGATTCATACTCCTCGAGGGACTCTTAAAGCCACTGTGCCCACACGTGACCTCACGCGCACCTGGGAGCCCATCTCCCCGGGCTGCTTCCTCCCAGGGCCTCGTGCCTCAGTCTCCCCACCGTGAACAGCCCAGTGCTGCTCTCTGCCTCCCTCCTCCACCCCGGGCTGCTGGGGCACCACAGGGGCTGAGAGGCCACGGCCGGCCTTATTGGATTCCCTTCCTGGGTGGTTGGAGGCCTCTTTCCAGCCTGGGAGATGGAGAGGGGCACAGAGCCCTGGGCAGTCTTGTTGCCGTATGTGTGTGCCCGTGATGTGGCCTCAACAGCCGCCGCCCCTGGGCCCAGGGCTCTGACGGGCTGCCAGGCCCAGGGCCCCTCTTGCTGGTGCTGGCGTGGCTTGCAGGGAAGTCCTTCCAATAGGGCCAGGACTCCAAGTTCCACAGGGTTGGACCTTGGGAACCCAGGCGGGGCCTTCCACATCTGTTACAGGCTTCTGGGGAAATGATACACGCAGGGTGGCTGAACCTGGTCACTCAGAGTCGCAAGACGTGGTCTTCGTCGTTTTCATTTGGACCAGGCTTTGGGGCTGAAGAGAACTGAGCTTTGGGAAAACTTCACAAAGCCTCAGTTTCTTCATCTATAAAATGGGTATAATGACAATATCTGCCTCCGGGGTTGACAGCATGTTTTGAACTCTGAATATGAAGCCACAGGAGCCCTAGGTCAAGATGGCGGCTCTGGTAATCAGGGGCCCCTCCCTGGGGCTTGGGCACATTGGGGACACACCCAGCATCTGCAGTGGCCCCATGCATTTCTGGGATAAAGTGCGTCTCAAGTTCTGCTCAGGAGCCTAGCGGGGACCCTGGTCCTCCTCTGCCCAGCTACACTCCAGCCAGGTGGTGTGTGGGGGTCCAGTGCCAGGCTGTGGGGGGATGAGGAGGGAAAGAGAGGGGGAGGGGGAAGCAGGCTGGGGGAGACCCGGTGATGAGTGGTGAAGGGAGGTGAGGGAGGAGGGGTGGGGGTGACAGAAAAGGGCAGTGTGTGCTGACTGTGTGGGTGGCTCTGCGCCCGGCCTGGGCGGCGGCCTCTTAGGAACAAGCTGGCCTCACTGGGCCCTCGCTCATGGAGTCCAGGGCCAGGAGCACTGGGGCCGGGCTGACCTCCTGCAGCCCCCACTTTTGGCCTTCTCCATAGACGGCCCTCAGCACCCCCGCCCAGCCCAGGAGCGGGGAAACAGAGGACTGGGGGACAGTGTCTTTGGGGTCATAAACCCTTACTTAAGGACGATTTCCCAAATGCAGGCATCAGGGTGCCAGCTTCTGTGCCTGGGATTCCGTCATTCCCCGACCCTCGGTCCCCAGAGTGGGAATAGCTCATGTTCACGGCCGGCTGCTGGGGGCGGGGCTGGGGAGTCAGAGGCTGGCGGAGCCCCTGGCAGAGTCGGAGGAAGTGTCACCGAGCGGTGGCCGCTCTGGATCCTTCCAAACACCGGGAGGACTGTGGGGACTTGGGGACGAGGGGTTCTGCGCATGTGCCACAAAATATTAGTGACCCAAGTACAGCTGAACTCCAACCCCGAGCCTAAATCCAGTCCTTTGCATGGTTTCTACTTAGAGTTTTGCCTAAGGCAGGTTTCATGCCATAGTGGTGGCCGCGCTGAGTGGTTGTGGCAGAGGGGTGTGGCCTGCAAAACCTGAAATAATGACTACTGACCTATGGCAAAAACCCAACCCAACCAAAAAGCCCCTACAGAAAGCCCCAGCCTAGAGGTTCAGAGGTGGGCACTGGGGGAGGAGAGGCCCTGCTGGCTTCAGGTCTGTGGCTTATCAGCCGGAGGATCCTGGGCAAGTGATCTCTCTGTCACTTATGGGCTAGAGCTGTGTCCTCAGAGCCCTCGTGTAAGTACAAATACACCCTGGATTTTGAACACACGGGGGGTGGGGAAGATTATAAAGTATCTCATTCATAATTTCTACATCAATCACTTATTGAAACGGCCTTTGGGAGATATTGCTGTAAGTGAAATACATTATTAAGATTCCTTGCAGGGAGGGGTTATGGGGTAGGAAAGATGGTGGAATGAGATGGATGTCATTACCCTAGGCACACGTACGATTGCACAAATGGTGCGTCTCTACACCACATACGAACAGAGCATTGAAAAGTTGTGCTCCATTTGTGTACGACGAGTGGAAATGCATTCTGCTGTCAGGTACAACTAAGTAGAACAACAACAACAAAAAAGATTCATTGCGCCTGTTTCTTCTTACTTTTTTAATGTGGCTACCAGAAGATCTAAAATGACACCTGTGACTGCACTGGGTCTCCCGGACAGGCTGGTCTGAACTGAAGATGGTTCTCAGCTGTTCTTTTCCTCATTCTGTTTCCCCTGCTCCATTGAATGGAGTTAAACTATTTCTGCTTTTAGTGCAGTGGTTCTCAAAGTGTGGTCCCTGGACCAGCAGTAGCAACAAATCTTGGGAACTTGGTAGGGAAGAAAGTTCTAGGCCTGCATGCCAAGGTTCTAAGGGGGGGTGGTGGGGGAGGGCGTCCAGCGGTCTAACCAGCCCTCCAGATGACTGGCAGGCTTGAATTCTAGAACCACTGACTTCATGCTCACCCCTAAAAATTACTATGCGTATTTAACTTACCAAAACCTAGGGCTGATCATCATCTTAATGCCCTGTCCTAAACTGTCAGAATTATTTAAAGGAGTGATTCCCATCCTCCTGCTGACCCTCATGCTACTGTGTCCAGTATTTTAATTCTGTTCTTTTAAGAAAATTCCATAATTTGGATATTGTCATCATGATTATTTTATGATAATCATTGCTTAAAACAATTCACCCACGTTTACGGGTTTCTCTGATCATAACTGATTGTTCCTTCTGAACTCATTTTTCTTATTTCTGAAGATCATTTTTAAAAGTCTTCTTTGATGAAAAGTACTTAACTGCTAAAGTCTTACAAGTTTCATCTGTTTGAAAACAGTCTCTATTTTGTCCTTTTCTTCAAGAGTTTTGCTGGGGACTCCATTTGGAGTTGACAGTTACTGTCTTGTAGCACTTGGATGGTGCTGCTCCACAGTCCCCTGTCTTCCTCTTGCTAATCAGAAGCCCATCTCACTGTTATACTCTCAGTTGGCTACCCTTAAGATTTTCTCTTTGTCTTTGGTGCTCCAGTGTCCTGACAGTGAGGCTAGATGTGAATTCCTTTTTATCAATTCT